GTCGGAGGTTGGAAGGCTCGACCTAGGGAAAAGAGTTGATGAATCTTGAAAACCAGCAGCTTCCAACGCCATCCTTCCACTGGAAACCGCCGGGAAGAAGTTACTCAGACTCGTAGATGATTCGTGACTCGACAATGCCTCGTGCCCTCTCCGGAAGCTAGGAATCGAGCTGTCGCCAGCATTTTAAAAGCTTAATCCTAAATCAACTCAAGACCGTCGCCAACTGAAACTGGAGTGATGGAAACGTTGACAGAGCGTTTTGTCTTCGCGGATTACGAAGTCCGTGTGTCCAGACTCCGAGTCCTCTCGCTGCGTTTTGTTCAGTCAGTGGAGCAGGAGTCGTTCTCGTCCAATAATTGCTTCTGACTTGGCAGGTTCTCCAAACCAGCAGCAAACATTTGCGAACTTCCGTCTCTCTGGAGCACTGTACATGTAGACGTACTATTAAAAATGCTGCTCTCACCAGCAACTCAAGGAATAGCCAAAGGAGTGTCAGATGTCACATCCAGACGGCAGTGTGAAAAACAAGAGAAAAAAACATTTTTTTTTTTTTTCCCTCACAGGCGTGGGGAGAGGAGGAGAAACGGAGTCACGACCCTCACAGGGTCATGCATATGGGGTGCATGACCCTTCAATCTGACAAGGCTCTTCACAACCAGAGCTCAGGTCAGGCAAGGCGGCCGAAGCGCAGCGGGCTTACTTGAGAATTAGTATGGCGGATCGAATAACATTAGATACTATTCAGAGAACCTGTCCCAATTTCTCGGTTTTGACAGGCAACTTGAAGTATATACTGTTCAGGCCAGGGAGCCGGCGCTGCTATGGGCGCCGCTTCGAGCGGAAAATACGGTGGTACTACTGAGATGGTTTGAGTTATTATTGAACCATCAATTCGACCGTTGAACGTGGGGCGATGAGGAGAACGGACCATAGCATCGTCTGTCAGATTAAGAGCCATAAATTAGGGTGGTTGGTTACGATAGAAGCACAGTCAAACTGTTCAGTAGATTCCGTTCTGTACTGAAATCGCCAGCTGTGAAATTCTGTTCGGTCCACACTGTTCGGTGGGCCATAGTCAACGGAAGACCAGAAAACCGTGAAATGAATGGGACAGGAGGAACGAAATGAGCTTGCGATACAGTTTTTCTCTAGCTCAGCTGAGGATGAGTGTGAGGCAGAGGTGACGGACGTGCAACTACGAGCTAGTGAGTCGAATGAGACTCAGCGATGGATGAAACCTTTAAGGTATTTATCCTGCTTTCTAAGAAATGTGCTTGCACCCAGAAACAGCAACAAAGGAATCAACTTCCGAGAGATCGAGTACGGTTTTTTTTTCGTTTCAGGTAGTTCTGTTTATGTATTGAGCGGTAGGGTAGATTTTTTAGGGGTTTGACGTCTCCCTTGCAGCCTCATCTCATCATTGTCCGAAATTGGTGGAGGTCAACGAGTTGGTGCGATGATTTGGTGAAAGTTTCTGCAGCAAAAATTGGGAGGAAAGGCGTCGGTTTGCAACAGCTTCTGGTAGGTTACAGTACGTTTCATTACGGTTCGATGGTGCTAACCAGGCCCAAGTCTCATCTCGCCTCGCCAAAGAAATTTGGTCCTGCTACAGTGCATGAATCACAAAGCGTGAAACCTGACTGACCTGAGGCCTCATTGCTGATAAGGCAGCGGCGCACAGTAGCCGGGTTTGTGATTGGTCGCTGTCCTGCAATGAAATCAAATTAGAACTGTCCACCAATTCCCTGACTCAAACCAGCTCAGCCGAACCATGCCACCGTACAACTTGCCTTTCTGCAGCACGGATACGCATTAATGTTTTGCGTCCTCGCTTGAATGGGAATCATGAATTGAAACAGAATTTGTGAGTGCAACTGAATATATCTCCTTTACCAGAAGATAAATTAAATGTACTGTTATAATCTCATTATAACGTGGTTTTGACTTTACCTTCTTGTAAAATTTACGAAAAAGATCTAGAATATAGGGAGGGTGGGTGAGATTTGACACTGTGATGGAAAGGTTTTATCACTTGCAGATTCAAACGCTTTCACTGCCAAGCATAAAGATTTATCAAACCCTCAACTTGCAACTGTGATGAGCACCCTGTGTTCAAGAAAAAAAATTGGTTGAAGCATATTTTCTACATGTGTTACGAGAATACTGTGTCTTGGTATTCTGTCCAGCAGGAGGAAGGTGCAACAAGGCTCTGGGAATGGAACTTTACTAGGCACCTTGGGGTGTGGAGGCATGGGATGATTGGGATTTTTCTTGCTTTGGCGGCAGAAAGAAGCAGAGGAAGATATGATTCCTTGATAGCACGATACAAGCGTTTTGGTATAATAAAGGACATACAGAATTCCTGAACAAGCGAAAACAATGAAGGATTGGAGTGAAAGATTTATTGGGATGCCATGCAATCAGAAGCGAGAGCTTCCATTGCAGTGCATCAAATGTCTATCATTCCAACCAATTATACTCTGCCCTTCCCGTAGCCCAATTTGCTTCCATCCACCCATTGCGAAACTTGAGAAGTTACCACGTCCACGTGTAACCAGCAGTCTTCGCAGCAGCCTCAGCGGACTGAGCAGCAGCCACAGCGGTGTTCATCCTGGACTTCATAGTCGCAGCAGCGCTATCGGCGCTAGCTTTCAGCGTCACAGCCTTGCTTTGCAAGATCTTCGCGTTCGAAACCGCCGCGGATTTGATCGGAATCGCCGCGTTCGCGTCGTTCACGTCGGTCGTCGCCTTCGTCACCGCCGCCGCCGCCGCCGCGTCCGCCTTCACCGCCGCATCCAGCGCCGCCTGCGCGTCGTCAACCGCCGATTGCTGCGCCGCAACCACGGCGTTCGCCGAGTCGGGGTTGTCCAGTGCATCCTGTCGCTTCGCCACCAGCTGCTCTGCGCGATTCGCCTGTGAGATCATGTCGTCCAGAATCTGCTTCGCGAGCGCCAGCGCCGCATTCGCGTCAGTCAACGCAGTCTCAGCAGCCGCGGCTTCAGTGGGCGTCAGATCAGGGTTAGCGGCGTCCTTCGCCGCCTGCATGGCCGTCGACTGCGCGTCGTAGAGCTCCTCCTTCTGGCCCTCAACTTGCTGGGCCGTCATCTCGACGCGTTTCTTTGCGTCGTCAACGGCTGCTTTCAGATCCGCGAGGCTCGTGCCTGACGCTTTGGTTTTCTCCAGAATTGCCGTGGCGGCATCGAGCTTGTCCTGAACTGCGGGGATGGCTGCAGCGGTTTGGTTCTTCGCAATGATTTTCTGCGCGAGGACAGTCTTGAGGCGGTTCACGAGTGGTAAGGCGTCGTTGTAAGTCGCCGTGGCGTCTGCGAGGGTTTTGTTCGCCGCGAGGAGCTCCTGGGCGCGCTGTGCGGCGAGCGCGTCGGCTTTCTGGGAATCGGCGGTGGCGTTGATAGCGGCGGCGCGGGTCTGACGGGCCTTGGTGACCAGAAACGGCTCCGTCTGCCCCGAGGCGTGAAGGAGGGTAGCGGCGGCCACGAGGAACACGAGGAGACCAGCTTTCGAGATCGCCATGGTTATCGTTCGGCTAGAATTCGCTACGCAGAATGGTTTGATTACGAGGGCAATTGGGAGAAAGCCGAGTAGCTTTGTTACTTCAGGATGGCTGAAATGTTGGAGTGAGTGTTGAATGCTACGAAGGGAAAGACGCTTCCTACATTATCGAGGGGAATGGAAGCAAGTCTTTTGTAGATGTATGATTGTACGGGCGCATGACAGAATTTCCCACTTCACTCATCTCGCACTCAATGCTCAGTGGAGCTGGCTGATGCTCACACACACACACAATTCGCCTGAGGTGACATCAATTGCGACGCGGTCTGCTTATGGCGCGGCGCGGTCGGTGAGATTATTATGCTGCTCCAAAATTGCCTTCTGCACGCGCGAAGGGAAATTCTGGAAGGCGACTTCATCGTTACGTCAGTAACCGTTTTCGCAGAACTCTAAGTCAGATAGCGCAAATTTCGTCCTTAGGGGCAAGGTACCCGATTGGCGGGTTGAGCTGACGAAATTGGTTCTTTCTCGTACAGCACAGCTGTGCGGAAGTGTTGGGTTTGGTGGAAAGAACGGCGAGGCCGCACCAGCCAAGTGGGCCCATATGGACACCAAACACCTGCGACACCGTGCGTCAGCTTCTTTGAAAGATAAATGTTCGTTTGAGTGCGGTGCATTACGTTACAATAATATTGGGAACAGTTTATTGTTTCACCTTTTTAGATGACTGCTAACCAGGATGCACCTCCCGAAGAAAACAGTAAAATGTAAGATATGACGCGCCCTCATGATGGAATGAATCGCAGAGCTGGCAAAGCAGGGCCAGTAAGTGTACGGAATGTATTTTCAGATATGTGAACGTTTTGTTATTTCTTACATTGAAATGCTTTTCAGCCAACAAAGTACTCCCATCAATCTTTTAAACTACATGACTAATGTATATTTCAATTGTCAGGCTGAAATAAGACCCCTACTGATTACAAAGACAGTACTTTGAGCACAATGAGCATCACCTATATACAACATTCTACATATAACAAAGACATATCTGCTTGTAGGTAAGTTATCAAGGCTGCAAGCAACAGCCCAAAATAAAAGAAAGCATCAACAGAATAAACAAGAGATTGTGGGAGCACACTCCCTGAACAGCAACGACGGAAGGAAAAGGTAGATCCTCATTCTGAGATTCCCGAAGGCAAACAGCAGCAGCAGCAGCTGAAGAACCCCATGCAGGGCTCCAGCATGGATTATTTTATTCATGAGGAACGCCTCCCACGCAATGCGGCTGTCGATATAAGCAAAAATCAGCTACACCATTTCAGCATCACAGGTACCAACGCCGACCAGGAGGATCTCGTATTTCTTTCGCCAGGTTCCCTTCCAGTCCCGATGCCAACCACCGCGTGCGCGCAATCAGGATCAGGAAACCTCGGAAGCGGCATTTTCAGCGTAATCCTTGAGCGTTGTTCGTGTGTAATAGTCGCTCCACATCAAAGCATCCTGTGTGTATGCCTGAGAACGTCGCTTTCCGTGATTATTCCCACCACCGTCATCCGTCCGTCGTCGTCGCCAACTGGTGCAACAACCGGCAGACGGGCAATCTGAAAAGAAGAAAATAAGGACGAGAGAAGACGAGACAAGAACAGGGCAATTGAGACAATCGAGAGAAACCCTGAAGACAGCGAACATAGAAGCGAGGAAGCGAGCTGTACTCTGACGAATTAACCACCAGGGTTGCACGCATACTCATGCTTACATTATGATTGAGCATCAGCTCTGCAGCGTCTGAGACCCGCGCGTCCGCTTCGACATAGATGGGCGTGTCTGTCATTGACTCGCCAACCTGAAAGCGGATGAAAAGACCATTCGTTAAACAATGAAAATATATGACGAAAGGGAGTGAACGTCTGGAAACCTTAGACGCGAAGAAGATATGCTGTATTTCTTTGATAGGGTTACAAAGTCCAATAGGCTCTATAGAAAAATCGCACCTTCTCGCTCATAATTTTCGTGATTTGATGTCTCAGCGTGTCCACCATCGGCCCGTGGTTTAAGTTGCCGTAGTAGCACGAGAGGCGGTGAATCTTGTCCTCTTCCTGAAGTGGTGGAGAATAAACGACAACAGGATACATGCAATCGACAAAAGACAGAACAGAGAAAAAGTATCGGCAAGTTATTACGCGGGACCGAGTGAGGGTGCGAGTCGGTGAAAGCACAGCCGGACAAAAGCGCAAAGTACAAAAAGGGGTTGAGAGGAGGGAGAGGGAAGGGGGGACGTGGGGAAGGGGGGGAACAACGAATAAACAAGGCATTGGCTGAGATCAGGACGGAAGGAGGTGGCTTACAGAAGGAAAAGGCTTCCGCTGCTTCCAGAGAAGATCCCGTTGCGACAGCACGCCAACGAGCCGACCCATTCCCACCGCGTCCCCCTCGAGAGGCTCCACGACCGGCGCTCCGGTGAGACGATACCGCAGAAGAGCCTTCGCCGCGGCGCATAGCGACGTCTCTTTTCGGAAACACAACGGGTTCGGGGTCATGAACTCGCCGACTTTCCGGTCCTCCCACGCGTCGACGCTCTCGCCGATCCGCGTCAAGCGTTCGTCCTCTTCGAAATCGCGGCTGTAACCATCTTCGTCGACGAGAGGCGTGTGGCTTCCGGGTAGAAGCGTTGCTGAGTCGGCGAGATACACGCTGTTGCTGACAAAGCCTGTGGTCTCGCGCTCTAGGAAAGGCGAACGGCGCTCCACGTCTTGCCACGTGTCGGCATCGGAGCTCTTCCTCGCCGCGCTTCGGCTTAGGGTTGATTCGGCAGAGGACTCGCACGAGACTCGAAGGACGGTTGGGCTGTCCTTGGTGATGCACCGCGGTATCTTGGCGGATAGAATTTGCGAGGGGAAACTAGAGAGACGTTGAGCGGCAACGCAACGAACGGCTTCCATGGCCAGGGTCTACGAAAGTTTGAGAAACGAAATTAGTAGATCTGGACCGATGCTAGTGATTCCTAAATCTGCGAGTCTCCTTAGCTTCAGATAACACAGAAGCAGGAACCTAAGGACTTCAGATTAAATTGTACGTGTGCAGCGAAAAATAACTTCTCTAGGCTTGAAATGAAGGATGCGAGGATTGCCTGTCGCTGTCGGTGGTTGCTGAGGGGATTGGAAATGTATTGAGCCAACAGTCTAGGAATATTTGACGCAGGTAAAGTCGGAAGAGTGAGAGAGCAGTCCTGGTGGAATGAGGAGAGGAGAAACGGCGGAAGGGAAAGGTATGCGCTGAGTTGCGCTTGTGTGTGCGCAGAGGAAATGTTGCAGATTTGAACTTGTATCATTCCATGCTTTCGGTCAGTGTTTCAGATGTAATCAGGGCAGAGAAAACTAGATACACACGTCGTTGTTCGACAGCTTTGTTGTCGACTTGGCGTGACCTACGCGTATTTGTGTTTTGGAAGGGGCACCCACACACCTACGTAAATTCTTCGAGTGTACTTCATATCCATATTTCTGATGCGGGGTCACGCGGAACACGAGGGGATGGACGGAACGGGAAGCTTGGGTTGGGGGAGCAGCAAGTTGTCAAGCGGTTGCCTCGCCCCCAGCATTTCCATTGTACAGTACATCAAGGGGTTCCCATTTCCACTGAGGCGGTAAACCGACGCGTTGGATGTACGAGGATGATGCATGATGTGCTTCGGCCATTGTTCGGTTCGGGCCCCATCGCGTGCACGCACACACACCCCGTCAGAAAACGCGGTGGGGCGGAGCTGAGTCCCCTTGTGGCGAAGTTCTCGCTTCAATTCGCAGAGGGTGGAAGGAAACTGATGTTGGTGGCGACGGCGGCGGGGATTTGGGGGGTTTGGCGGACACGTGTGGGCGGTTCAGGAAGAGATGACGAAATCGCGCGCATCGGCGGAAATCGTGTTTGTCTCAAAAGAATCGACCCAAATTGCTCCCCGCTCGCCACGTGGGCGTTTTTCTCAATTGATTCGACCCCCTTTCCCCCCGCCCCCCCACCCCGTTTTTCCCGCCCTTGCCCTCCGAAATTCGGGCACCCGCTAGAATCTCGAAAAATCACAAAAAGTCACGAATACATGCTTTTTCGTAACGCAAGATTTCAACATGCGAGCGACATCTGATTGGACAGAACACCTATGACTTCTAATGATAAATTTAGCAGTAATATGGATTTTATTAATTATGTGCCACTGCAGTAACATATTTTTTTAATCTTTGTAATACGAGTAAATAATAAAACAAAAAGTCTATAAAACATAATAAAACATAAATAATAATGAAACATATTATTATTAGTAAATAATAAAACATAATAAAACATATTTTTTTTCTAAATAATATCAAGAAGTACAATCAAACAAAATATCTACCTATTTCAAGAGGGATTTATTTTTATTTGCCGTGGAGCTATTATTATTATAAATTTATGAAATTTAACTCTTAGTTTTTTAAGTTTTCTGGAATAAGCTTCATGTAGATATATAGAAAACATAAAGAAGCTATAGGTTGATTTGCCATGTGTTTTTTTTTTTTTGCGCCCTTATCTACATTACTGGCATGGGCTAATCCAAAAAAATACGATACAATCAACGTGCATATGAGCCTCCTGAGATTGAGAAGCAACCGCCGAAATTATCGATTGCGAAAGCTGATGTGGCATGCCACAACTACATGGTGGATTTGGCATGATGTAAAAAGCATGTATTCGTGACTTTTTGTGATTTCACGAAATTCCAGCGGGTGCCCGAATTTCGGAGGGCAAGGGCGGGAAAAACGGGGTTAGGGGGCGGGGGGAAAGGGGGTCGAATCAATTGAGAAAAACGCCCACGTGGCGAGCGGGGAGCAATTTGGGTCGATTCTTTTGAGACAAACACGATTTCCGCCGATGCGCGCGATTTCGCCGGAAGAGATGCTTTCAGTTTCGGTTTTAGTTTAGGGTCGCATATTCGGGCACAAATTATGCCCAGGTCGGCGACGCGTACCGCCATTCAACCATCAGCAGAGCCCATCATCAACACATTCTCCGAGGCAGTTGGCGTGACAGCAGCGAAAGAAACGCATCAGCTGACCTGACCTGCCTGCCTGACCTGACAGAGGATCTGGACTCTGGTCTGGTTGATCGGTCGCTTGTGGTCGTGCCATCAATTTTCTCGGTTCATTAATTACCAATGCCCGCAAAATGTGCTGGATATGTATACAGTGAGAAGGCTGGCAATAAATGGTAATTTTTCTCCGTGTTATACACCCTGCACAGACTCAACCTCGCGTTTTACCTCTTCGAACTGACCGGAGCTTGATATTGTTGACCACACCCATCAACACCAGTCATGTGTAATTCCAGGTCGCTTTCTTCACTTCCCGACAAAATTCGAGGACTAGTTAGCTGGCAAAGCGCTTTGATTGAAAGCCAGGGCAGACTGCTCCCGTATCCACGGAAATCGCTGACCTGGCGTCCAGCCTCCTTGGAGAAGCCACCACTGGGAATCTGCGATCGTGACGTGGTAATCGCCGCTGCTTTGATTGGTGTCCCCAGACGTGACAAGTATGGACGCAGGGTCGAGTCACCAATCAGTGATGCTGTCAGTTCGCGGGGACCCTTCGCACCAGGGAATAGCGGTGCCCTTAGGGCGGGTCCAACTTTGCACACTCCCGTTTTTTTCGTTATATTTACGTCAACACACTTGTCAATTTTGACTGTACCCCACGGTGCACTCCTAGCGTTTCCTGTCCAGTTCGGAGTGTACAGTGCGGACTTTTGACGAGGTACATTAACGTTGCGAGGTACAGTACCTGGGAAGGAGAGTTACCACATGTTGCGAGAGTTTCCGCATCATGGGCGAAAGGAATTAATTTATGACGAAAAGCGTTTGGCGAAAACGGGAGTTACTGTTTGACGACTTGACGGGAAGCGAACTGGGAGACGAGCCTTCGGATGGGTTCCTCACGTCCCGGGGCACGTTTCCGAAATGAGCTCATTTATGTACAGTCTCGCGTCAAACGGATTTCGTACGTTAAAAGTTTTGTTCATGCTTTATTCTGGTAACTGAGATGTAAAATAACCGTACATGTGCAAAGTTAGACCCGCCCTTATCCCTTGGATGTGTTACTGTATAACGATGAGGATGTACATGTATCAACTTGTAAGATTCAGTCACTTTTATGTGTGTTCATCACTATACGGAACCGGGTTTGCAATGTCGCGTAAATCTCATGTGTGCTGACGCAAGCGCTCGTACGAACATTTGGAAAATCACGCTTCGTGCAAAAATCACAGTTGGACGCACTAGTGCAACGCACACCTCTTATGTGACAGCCTGACTGAGCCTGCCGCAATAGTGATACGGAGTCGCGTCGCTACGACGAACCGCTGCGACGGGAAGGAGAGTCTCTCGCGAACCATCGTCGCCTAAGTCCACGCCCACTCGTCGCCATAGTCCACGCCCACTCGTCGCCATGAAAGTAAAACTTCCACTGGAAGAACCCTAAACTGGAAGTTTAGCTGCCATGGTATTTCCGAAAAAAAACTTGTTTTCCATACAGTGACGAGTTTTGAGGCGCCTCGAAAGTCATCTCCGACATACCACGTTCTAATATCGTGACGAGTCGCCTTCAACAACGATGCCTCGTATCAAGGCCGTTGAGTCGATAATACCGTACCCCGTCGCGCTCGCTTGGGCGATAATCGCGACGATTCTCCTCTGCTCGCTCCCGATCGTCACCGTTCAGTTTCCCCATCGCTGCGGAGAGAATGACAATGTCTTGGCGGAAGTAGTAGGGCTCGCCGTAGATGGACCACCAGAAGGCGGTCTCACGATGAAACTTGCAGACGAAGCTAACATCGCCGATATTACCGCCGGCGCCTCACCGCCTCCGGCCGCCGCACCGCCCGCGGCCGGCGCTTCCGATTCGCCGGACGGAGGCGGTGTGGCGACAGCGTCCTGCACTGATTGGTTGTCGACCAGCCGTCCAGGTCAAGACGGCGCGCTCGCAGATCCGTGGGAGTTTACTAAGGTAGAGTAGCAAGTTCTTTCTAAGGGAGTGACCTCAGGTGACCTGGCTGTTCTGGTAGCAAATTCTGTGGCCTCAGGTGACCTGGCTGTTCGTTTCGGTGGTAGAAGTTCTTTCTGTCTCGCCATTGAGGGGGGGAGGGGGGGAGGGAGAGAGAGAGAGGGAGAGGGAGAGGGAGAGGGAGAGGGAGAGGGAGAGGGAGAGGGAGAGGGAGAGAGGAGAGGGAGAGGGAGAGAGAGAGAGAGATGTTTTTTTTTCCCTTCCCCCTGCCCGCCTCCCCCACGAACACCCACAGTGGACACCCCGCGTTTCACCATGTCTTGTTGCGGGACTTCCTATAGAGGAGCTCGATGCACATCTGAACTTCCGCCGGGGGTGGACCCTCGGATCCACGGAGGACGTTGAAGATAAGACGCAGGTTCTGCCGATGATGCGCGGCGCTATGGACCTTAAAATGCACACAAGGTGTCAGTCAGGCATTCATAGTGGCGACAGTAAATCAACCTCAGAGCCAAGACATTCATCACGAGTGTAACCTGGTTTCTTCAAACGAACCCCCTTTTCACCGAGTGGCAAGGATCCACGATTTCAAGGAGATGCAATACTCGTCACAATTAAGTAATAAATAAATCTCTCTGTATGCCTCCTGATTCTCCTTACTGCCCTTCAATTTCGCGTTCCCACAGGGAGCGGAGGGTTTATATCGACCTCGGAGCCAAGACGTTTGACTCAAGTGTAACCTGGTTTCTGCAAATGTACCCCCTCGATTTTACCGAGATTCACGCGGTGGAAGTAAAATCGGGCGAGTTTCAAATGCCAAATGCATCAGTGCCAAAGGTGTGTTCAACACACACACACACACACAGACACACACACAGACACACACACACACACACACACACACTCACACTCTCACACAGACACACACACTCTCACACACACACACAGACACACACACACACACACACACACACACACACACTGACACACACACACACACTCACACACACACACACACACACACTCACACACACACACACACACACACACACACACTTATATGAATACGGAAGTGAACGAATAGTGGAGGGTCAGAAAGGCATGTGAACAGCAAACGAGGCCCGAGAGAGGCGCTTGGCTAGGGGGTAGCTGGGGGAGACGGGAGTGTTTGGGGGGGAAGGGGAGAGGAGTAGGGGGTAAGGGCAATCAGTGGGGAACAGACGCTGTTTTTTGTTCTGTTAAGGAAATTGCATAAGCTGTAAACTTTTTTTTTTACACAAAGAGATCGGCACAGGTTCTGCCAGACAATTTTTGTTATTTTCCTTTGTGGTGGGTGGGTAACACGGCCCAGCTTCAAGACCCCGGGGGATAAAGACGTGCAATCCTGTCAATGACGTGCAATCCTGTCAATGACGTGCAATCCTGTCAATGACGTGCAATCCTGTCAATGACGTGCAATCCTGTCAATGACGTGCAATCCTGTCAATGACGTGCAATCCTGTCAATGACGTGCAATCCTGTCAATGACGTGCAATCCCCGGGGGATAGAGAACGTCCTGCCCACGTCTTCATCCCCATGTTGCGCATTCCCATCATTTCCCCACCCATGCTGAGCCCAGCCCTCATACTCCATACCCGTCCCCCACTTTCTTTGATCCCCTTCCCCCTGTTTCACGTCTCCTGTTTCCTGTTTCACACGTATAATCCTCCAAAAATACAGCGAAGTTTCAGGGTTAACAAATCTAATAAACTATTCTGAAAACCCCTATTCTACCCCTCAAAACCCTTCCTCGCCACTCTGAACTGCTCCAGGTACTGGCAACTAGTCTAGGAGAGGATTCCCGCCTGCGTCCGAGACGCGGAGGCCCAGCAGACTTCCCACAATGGCTGCTGCAACGCATTCATTCCCACACCTTCTTTGTGAATTCCAGAGACGACCCCGAGCAGGTAAATATATTCCCCCCCCCCAAAAAAAAAAACAAAACAAAAAAAAAAAACTTTGGAGCACCTGAATCATGCCGAATTAAGGCCTTTTTGTTCTGCTCTGTAGGCGTCGTGTTCCCCCTGTTGATGGCTTTCTCATATTTTTCCCCCTTTCCTGCTCGGTTCACCCCTCTTTCTGCTTTTTTCCCTCCTTTCCTGCTCGGTTCACCCCTCTTTCTGCACTTCTTCCCCCTTTCCTGCTCGGTTCACCTCTCTCCACTTCCCCAATTTCCTGCTCGGTTCACCTCTCTCCACTCTTCCCCAATTTCCTGCTCGGTTCACCCCTCATTCTCCTCTTTCCCCTCTTTCCTGCTCGATTGACCCCTCTCTCTGTTCCTTTCCCCCCTTTCTTGCTCTGTTCCTCCCCATTTCTGCTCTCTGCCTGCCCATTCTTTTTCTAGAAAAAAAAAAAAGGAAAAAAGAAAATGAAGAAAACAAACCTTGCAACAGGAGGGTACTGGGTTCAGTCATGAGCGAATGACTGGACAAGGTAAAGCCCACGAGCGATGCAATGAAGGCTTCATTGGCTATTGAGTCCACTTAGAAGTCAACTCGGTCAACTCGGTTGGATAAGGGCACTGGGTTCAGTCATGAGCAAGGCTCACGAGTGATGCGATGAAGGCTTCAGTGGGTGGACTCGGATGTTGCTGTTCCCATCTGCTCTGCTGTTCCCATCTGCTCTGCTGTTCCCATCTGCCCTGCTGTTCCCATGTGCTCTGCTGTTCTCCTGACCACAGCCCTTGTGCATTATCGGAACACGGCGCCCTTTGTAATCACCTATGAGAATTCTCAAAGCGATTTCAACATAAGAGGGCACAGTGCTCGTGCATTATCAAAACACGGCCTCCTTTCTCCCATCTCCCCCTCCCTCTCTCCTCCTCTCTCCCCCCTCCCAGAACATGGTGAGCGTGACTAGGTGGTGGCCTCTAGACGACCAGCACTGACTTTTGAGTCGACTCAAAAGTCAACTAGACGACCAGCACTGGAAGGTAGAGGACTCGGACTCACTCTTCCCTCTCTCCCCTCATCTTCCCTCTCTTCCCTCCTCTTCCATCTCTCCCCTCTCCTCCCCCCCCCCCCCCCCCTCTCTCCCTCCCTCTCCCCCCTCTCTCCCCCCTCTCCCCCTCCCTCTCCCCATTTCTCCCCCTCTCCCCCCTCCCAGAACATGGTGAGCGTGACTAGGCGGTGGCCACTGCAGGGTTGGCGGTGGAAGGAAGAGGGAACAGTCCTTGTGCATTATCGGAACACGGCGTCCTTTCAAAACACCTATGAGAATTCTCAAAGTGATTTCAACATACGAGGTCACAGTCCTAGTGCGTTATCGGAAAACAGCCTCCCTTCTCCCATCTCTCCCTCTCTCCTCCTCTCCCTCCCCCCTCACAGAACACGGTCAACGTGTAGTCAAAGCAAGAGAATCACAGTCCTTGCTCAACGGTCCTTGCGCAAAATGAGGTGACTTTTGAGTCGACTCAAAAGTCGTCAAAGCAAAAGAATCACAGTCCTTGTGCAAAATCGAAGCACAGCCTCCTTTCTCCCATCTCCCCCTCTCTCCCTCTCTCCTCCTCTCCCTCCCCCCTCACAGAACATGGTGAATGTTACCAGATGGTTTTTGGAGGACCTGCAGTTGAAGGAAGAGAATTCGGTGGTTGTGAAAATGGATATCGAGGGGCACGAGTGGCTCGTGATCAGGTCGTATCCCTTTCCTCCTCCCACCTCCCTCCCTTCTCTTCCCCACCTTCCCAGAACATGGTGAACGTTTCGAGGTGGCTACTAGCCGATTTGTAGTTGAAGGAAGATGACTCGGTGGTTGTGAAGATGGATATCGAGGGGCACGAGTGGTCGATTCTGCAGCACTGGATCGATAACCCCCGCATGGCAGCAATCGTTGACGAGCTGTCTGTGGAAGTGCCGAGCTGTTTGTATCACCACCCGAGCTTGTCACATGCCCTCTCCTCGCTCTTCTCACCCGCTTCCCCGCCCCCCCCTCTCCCACCCCCTCCCGCCCTCTCCCGCCCTCTCCCGCCCCCAGAACATGCTCAACGTCACCAGATGGTTTCTGGAGGACCTGCAGTTGAAGGAAGAGGACTCGGTTGTTGTGAAGATGGATATCGAGGGGCACGAGTGGTCGATTCTGCAGCACTGGATCGCTAACCCCCGCATGGCAGCAATCGTTGACGAGCTGTCTGTGGAAGTGCCGAGCTGTTTGCATCACCACCCGAGCTTGTCACATGCCCTCTCCTCGCTCTTCTCACCCGCTTCCCCGTCCCCCCCCCCCCCCTCCCACCCCCTCCCGCCCTCTGCCGCCCAGAACATGCTCAACGTCACCAGATGGTTTCTGGAGGACCTGCAGTTGAAGGAAGAGGACTCGGTTGTTGTGAAGATGGATATCGAGGGGCATGAGTGGTCGATTCTGCAGCACTGGATCGCTAACCCCCGCATGGCAGCAATTATAGACGAGCTATTTGTTGAGTTGCATTATAACCATCCGAGCATAACGGCGTTTTTCTGGAGCGAGGGGAGGTTCAGCCATTCGCGCGAGGACACGACACAGCTGCTGACTGATTTGAGGAAGGCTGGATATTATGTGCATCCCTGGCCGTAGATGGTTCAGAGTGAGGATCTTAACGGATAGTGTAGTGCTACGTGCAGCTGTGGTTCTTGGTTTTGGGGCATGCACCAAGGTACCGGTAGTAGTAAATCTGTTGTTTGGTAGCAGCAGCTGGTTTCTTGCAGCAAAAAAATTGGGTCAAAAGAGGGCTGGATGCTGAATGGACAACATGCCCTCTTGAATAACCCCCTTCAGCCATTATAAGAAAAGCTCTTTTTTCTTTTAGGGTTGATTTCATACTAAGAGAGCAATGTCAGGTATTATTTCTGAGGGCTGTCAACGCTATACCGTATAACTTCTACGGTACCAGAACTTCCTGGCTCATGATATATACCGGTAATCAACAAGCCGTTGAGAATTAAGATACGGTGCTACCTACCTAGTTAAGGAACTGAGTCACAGGTACAGTTCTAATGGCCATAACAATTCGAACAATATGCGACTGATTACCTCGCCACACCAGGCTTCCGAACTTAAACACCTTGCTCGGCTTCCCCTTCGGCCGAAACCGCACCGAAAACTTTTGCGTCTGCCCAGGATTGATGGTGAAACTCATTGGATTGACGTCTATTTTTACTCCACTAGGCCCCCTTATTATCGCCTTATAGGTCGCTGCCACGTCAGCAACACTCTTCACTATGCGCCTTACCACCACTGGTCTCGAGAGCCGCGAGATGGCGATCGACGGACGGTTGAGATTGAACGCTTTCACCGGCCGGATTCCCCCGACAAAGCCCGGGAAATTCATCATGGTGTAAAAATAGCTACGCCCAGCGAGAAAATTTACGTAGTCCTTGTAACCCACGTCGAACGTAAGCCCCGGGTTCAGTACCCGCATGGGGTCAACATGACCCGACCCCATATCCCATGGGGTAGCTTCGACTGTTACCCCGGTGCTCTTCTTGCCGGAGCTGGTGGTTCGGCGGATGGGGTTGCCGAGCCTGTTGGTGGTGTATGCGGTGGTCATGATTGCAGACGTGATTTGGGCGGGCGACCATTTTGGTTTTTTCTGGATGATTAGGGCGGCAATGCCGGCCAGATGGGGGGTGGCCATGGAGGTTCCGGAAAGATAGGCGAATTTGGGCGGCTCGGAGGAGAGTGTGAGGCCTCTGGAAGCAGCCCAGAGCTGGAATCCTGGGCCGATGATGTCGGGCTTTAAGATGTCGTTTGAGGCGAGGAGGCGCGGAGTGACTGGGAAGGCAGGGTTGAGAGGCGGGCCGGTGGAGGAGAAGTAGGCGACTGATGGGGCTGAATCTGAGAACGTGGTGAAGGGGGGAGAGAGGGAGGCCGTGGGGCTGGGAGGGGCAAGAGAGGGAGGGGGGGAGAGTGGGAAGAGGGAAAAGGGAGATGAAAGACGGTTAGTTTTGCTGCCACAATCCGCAACCAGAGCCCACAAGGGAGCTGGAACCCTGGGCCGATAATATCGGGCTGTAAGATGTCGTTTGAGGTGAGGAGGCGCGGCGTGATGGGGAAGGCAGGGTTGAGGGACGGCCCTTGGAGGGGAAGCAGGTGACTGATGGAGCCGAATCTGACAACGTGGTGAAGAGAGGGAGAGAGGGAGGCCGTGGGGCTGCGAGGGGCAAGAGAGGGAGGGGCAGGGCAGAGAGGTGAACGGAAAATGAGAGAGGAAAGTCCCTGGGCTAATGGAGAACGAAGGCAGGCTACAGACGGGAGAGACAGTGTTGAAGAACCATGTGAGGGGCGGAGAGAGGAGATGGTGGGCGAAGGAGAGGGCTGGGACATAGAGCTAGAGGGGATAGTGAGAGATGGGCAGAGAGGTGGACAGAAAGTGAGTGAGGAAGGTTTCTAGGCGGATGGAAAACCAAGGCAGGGTACTGATGGGACAGTGTTGAAGAACGATGTGAGGGGCGGAGAGAGGAGATGGTGGGCGAAGGAGAGAGACATAGACCTTGTAGGATGCCTTAGAAAAAGTAATAATAAGAATTATGATAATAATAATAATGATGTTAATAATAACAACATTAATGATAATAATAATATAAATATCAAATAATAAAAAGTAAAACATCTTGGAGAGTGTTCACAACATGCTGCGCCACTCACTTGGTTGCCTTGCTGAGGTACTGCCGAACAGTCTCCGAATCCTCCGCGTTCAAGTGAATAGCGGGGACGTCTGTATAGGGTATGCGGGAGGGCGCCGGGGAGGAAGCAGAGGCGGAGAGCAGCAGCACAGCAGCAGCACCGACAGCAGCAGTGGTGGTGTCTTTCATCGCCTCCCGCACGTCCCTTGACTTGAGATTACACACCAGCATGCGACCAGAGAGCTTTGACTTGTCGAGGCTTGATGCGAAGCATTCTCGTGCCTGGGGTGGCGGGTGGATGGGGGAGGGAGGGAGTGGGGAAGGGGGAAAGGGAAGAAAGGGGGTAAAGGGGAATGGGGAGGAAGCAGAGGCGGAGAGGAGCAGAGCAGCACGGCAGCAGCGCCGACAGCAGCAGTGGTGGTGTCTTCCATCGCCTCTCTGACGTCTCTGGTTTTCAGGTTGCACACTAGCATTCGCCCGGAGAGCTTGGCCTTGTTGAGGCTTGAGGCGAAGCACTCCCGGGCCTGCAGGGAGGTGGTGAGGGGGGAACGGGGGAAAGAGGGGGTAGCACTGAGGGAAAGGGGATGCCGAAGGGAGCCGAGGAGGAAGCAGAGGCGGAGAGGAGCAGAGCAGCACAGCAGCAGCGCCAAGAGCAGCAGTGGTGGTGTCTGTCATTGCCTCTCTGACGTCCCTGGTTTTCAGGTTGCACACTAGCATTCGCCCGGAGAGCTTGGCCTTGTTGAGGCTTGATGCGAAGCACTCCCGGGCCTGGGGTGGGGGGTGGGAGAGGGGGCAAGAAGGGGAGAGAGGGGAAGGGGAAGTTAGAACAGGGAAAGAGAAGCACAACAGGGGCGGATAGCAGCAGCACAACAGGGGCGGATAGCAGCAGCACAACAGGGGCGGATAGCAGCAGCACAACAGGGGCGGATAGCAGCAGCACAACAGGGGCGGATAGCAGCAGCACAACAGGGGCGGATAGCAGCAGCACAACAGGGGCGGATAGCAGCAGCACAACAGGGCGGATAGCAGCAGCACAACAGGGGCGGATAGCAGCAGCACAACAGGGGCGGATAGCAGCAGCACAACAGGGGCGGATAGCAGCAGCACAACAGGGCGGATAGCAGCAGCACAACAGGGCGGATAGCAGCAGCACAACAGGGCGGATAGCAGCAGCACAACAGGGCGGATAGCAGCAGTACAACAGGGGCGGATAGCAGCAGCACAACAGGGGCGGATAGCAGCAGCACAACAGGGGCGGATAGCAGCAGCACAACAGGGGCGGATAGCAGCAGCACAACAGGGGCGGATAGCAGCAGCACAACAGGGGCGGATAGCAGAAGCACAACAGGGGCGGATAGCAGCAGCACAACAGGGGCGGATAGCAGCAGCACAACAGGGGCGGATAGCAGCAGCACAACAGGGGCGGATAGCAGCAGCACAACAGGGGCGGATAGCAGCAGCACAACAGGGGCGGATAGCAGCAGCACAACAGGGCGGATAGCAGCAGCACAACAGGGCGGATAGCAGCAGCACAACAGGGGCGGATAGCAGCAGCACAACAGGGGCGGATAGCAGCAGCACAACAGGGGCGGATAGCAGCAGCACAACAGGGGCGGATAGCAGCAGCACAACAGGGCGGATAGCAGCAGCACAACAGGGGCGGATAGCAGCAGCACAACAGGGGCGGATAGCAGCAGCACAACAGGGGCGGATAGCAGCAGCACAACAGGGGCGGATAGCAGCAGCACAACAGGGGCGGATAGCAGCAGCACAACAGGGGCGGATAGCAGCAGCACAACAGGGGCGGATAGCAGCAGCACAACAGGGGCGGATAGCAGCAGCACAACAGGGCGGATAGCAGCAGCACAACAGGGGCGGATAGCAGCAGCACAACAGGGGCGGATAGCAGCAGCACAACAGGGGCGGATAGCAGCAGCACAACAGGGGCGGATAGCAGCAGCACAACAGGGCGGATAGCAGCAGCACAACAGGGCGGATAGCAGCAGCACAACAGGGGCGGATAGCAGCAGCACAACAGGGGCGGATAGCAGCAGCACGGCAGCGGCATGGCACCGAGAGCAAAATCAGTTCATCCCTACAACTTTTACACCCATCGTTCAGTTCACAGGCTTTGGCAGCCATTGTTGACTGATAACGTCTCACTCTACCATCGCACACCAGCCTCAGTGTCCCCAATCGGTGCACTGCAGCGACTTTTGAGACGTCTCAAAAGTTTGGCAGCCATTGTTGACTGATAACCTCTCACTCTACCATCGCACACCAGCCTCAGTGTCCCCAATCGGTGCACTGCAGCGACTTTTGAGACGTCTCAATAGTTTGGCAGCCATTGTTGACTGATTACCTCTCACTCTACCATCGCACACCAGCCTCAGTGTCCCCAATCGGTGCACTGCAGCGACTTTTGAGACGTCTCAAAAGTTTGGCAGCCATTGTTGACTGATTACCTCTCACTCTCCCGTCGCACACCAGCCTCAGTGTCCCCAATGGGTGCACTGCAGCGACTTTTGAGACGTCTCAAAAGTTTGGCAGCCATTGTTGACTGATTACCTCTCACTCTCCCGTCGCACACCAGCCTCAGTGTCCCCAATCGGTGCACTGCAGCGGAGGAGAGCACAAGAGGCAGGTTTATTGCATTGCCTGCGCTGCCAAAGCCTGTGCGGCTGTGCGGCTGTGCCTGTGCCGTTGCCCATCCCCTTCAAGTTACAACCTGTACGTAACCCGCCTTCCTACCTAGACGTACCGATCACGCCAGCACGCACCAGGGTGAGAGTCACGTGTAGTGAGGGTGTTTTTGAGACGTCTCAAAAACACCCTCACTACAAGTTAAAACCTGTACGTAACCCGCCTTCCTACCTAGACGTACCAATCACGCCAGCACGCACCAGGGTGAGAGTCCCCAATGGGTGCACAGCAGTGGAGGAGAGCACGAGAGGCAGGTCCCTGGCGTTGCCGCTGAGGGGCTGGTGATGACTCTCCCTCTCCCCCAGGACTCACCAAACTGAGAGTCCCCAATGGGTGCACAGCAGCGGAGGAGAGCACAAGGGGCAGGTTTATCGCATTGCCCGCGCTGCCAAAGCCGAGCCCCGTGACCTGCACTCCGTTTCCCAGGGTGATGTTGGCCTGGTACTCACGGCCTATGGTGCTGGTGGGAAGGAGGGGGAGGGAGAGGGTGGGAAAAGGAAAGGGCGGGGGAGGGAGGAAAGGAAAGGGCGGGGAAGGGAGGAAAGGAAAGGGCGGGGAAGAATGGAGGGTCTTGAATGGGAGACTGTTGAAAGCCCAGCCCCCTGAGCTGCACTCCGTTGCCCAGGGTGAGGTTAGCCTGATACTCACGACCTATGGTACTGGTGGGGTGAGGGAGAGAGGAGGGAGAGGAGAATGAACGAGGTGATCAAAGGAGGAAAGCCCAGCCCCTTGAGCTGCACTCCGTTGCCCAGGGTGAGGTTAGCCTGAAACTCATGACCCAAGTCGACCCAAGTCAACGCAAGTCAAACCAAGTCCACGCGAGTCAACTCGAGTCTTACCTGGCCCCTACTGTGAGATAGAAAGGCGCAGTGTTGCTGAGAGTGCCGAGCATCTGCCCCTTAGAGGGCGCTCCGCTGTTGCCCGCTGCAAAGGCTATAAACACCCCCGCCTTCACCACAACCCAAGTCAAGTCAACCCAAGTCAACGCAAGTCTTACCTGGCTCCAACGGTGAGGTAAAAAGGCGCAGTGTTGCTGAGGGTGCCGAGCATCTGCCCCTTGGAGGGGGCGCCGCTGTTGCCCGCTGCAAAGGCTATAAACACCCCCGCCTTGAACGCTTGCAGGTATGGAAGGTCGTTGAAATACCGCGAGATGGCCCCGCCAAACGAGCACGAGAGCACATCCACACCGTCGGATACGGCCGCATCAACGGCTGCGCGTATGTCTGACTGAAACGCCCCAGCTTCTCCCCCCGGGGTGACCCAAAGGGATTTGTATGTGGCTAGGCGCGCACGGGGCGCCACTCCTGAGATTGACCCGAGGGTTCTGGATGGGGAGAGAGTCAGAGGCACGTTGGCGTTGCCTGCTGCTGCGCTGTGGGTGGAGGGGGGGAGGGGGGGAGGAGGGGAGGAGAGAGGAGCGGGAGGGGGAGAGGGATGGGGAGGGAGAGTGGAAAGCACCTTGAGTAAAGAGATATAAAGAGATGTAGGGCTGAAACTTGTTTTGAGTCGACTCAAAACAGGGAGAGGGAGGGAGAGTGGGAAGAACCTTGAGTAGAGAGCACGAGATGTAGGACCGAAATGTTCACGCTGCTTCCTCTCCACCCACTCACCCACCCACCCACCCAGCCACCCATCCACGCACCTGGCACACCACGTGCCGTGGCCGTCGCCGTCGCGTGGGGAGAAGAAATCCTTCTCCTTGGTCACCCCCGCGGACGACTTGCGCACGGCCCATCTGTGCCCCACCCACCCGCATCCCTCGAACCCACTGACCCCGCGCACCTCGCACACCCACCCTCCCACGCACCTGGCACACCACGTGCCGTGGCCGTCCCCGTCGCGTGGCGACATAAAGTCCTTCTCCTTGCTCACCCCCGCGGACGACTTGCGCACGCCCGCCGCGAAGAACCGCGCGCCGATGAGCTTCCGCGAGCAGAGCGACTTGGGGAAGTCCCGCGTCGCCTGGCACTTCCCGCGCCACCTGCGGGGGACAGGCCCGTACGGGTTGGATGGCTAGGGAGGAAAGAGAAGGTGGAGGGGGGGGGGGGGGGGGCGGGTGGGGAGGGTCGGGGCGGGGGAAGCGGGGAGTTTTGGGAGGGGAGGGTTAAGGAGCAGGGAACGGACAAGGGATTGTGGGGGCATTACACTGTGTCAGCGGGTGGCGGTTGAAATGAAACGATTTTCATTTCTGTGAAATGAGACGAGCTCTGCAAGGACACTTACTGTATCTGCAAACGACGGGTGTTCCGGCCACACGCCGGTGTCGATCACTCCCACAATCACCCCCTCCCCCGCGTTATCCCGCCCGCCGTTCGCCGCCCACAGCGACCCGGGCAGCCGAAGAAAACCCGGCGAATCAGTCATCAGCTTTCTCCTCCTCCCGCTGCCCAGCTGCCCGTCCTCCTGCCCGCCCGCCTGCCCGCTCTGTGCGTCCTCGGGCAGCCGAGAAAAAGTATCGGAGTCGCGAAAACTGGTACTACTAGTTAGTGCGGGAAGGTATTCGTCCTCCTCCACCGCCGCTACAGCCGGGTGACGCTTTAATCTCCTCGCCTCCGCTGACGTCAGCGAGGCGGCAAAACCGTTGGAGGTGTAAGTGTAACTGCTCGGGACGAGCGAGCGGCGGAGCGGCGCGAGAGGCGCGGGGAGTAGGCAAACGGGGAAAGCGGAAGAGGTAAGGGAGAGGATGACGGGGAGGGGCGGGGAAAAGGAGGCAAACGGGGAATGCAGAGGGGGGGAATTGGGGGAAAGGGCGCAAAAGGGGAGTGCGGAAGATGCAAGCGGGGGAGATGGAGGAATCGGGAAATAGTAAAGGCGAGGGGGAGGGAGGGGGCGCGGATTGAGAAATTCGCAAGTGAATTTGCAAGGGGAAGGGAGAAGAGGGTTGAGAGAGATGCGCGCAAGTTCCATTCCCCACTGCCTTCACCAAACTCCCCCCTTTCCCCCCATTCCCCACCCCCCTCCTTCGCGCACCTTGGCATTTTCTCCTTTACTAGCACATTCACTACCCAGCCACACACCTCTGGTAAATCGCGCGGCTCGAGATGTCGAGTGTTGCCATCAGCTGCCTGTGAGACTGTTTCAGGAATCGCACGAACGATCGCACGTGCGGCATGCGAACATCAGGGCGGTTCAAGCGGGGAATTTTCCCTCCGCCTATCGGCACTTTTACTTTCCCCCTCACTCCGCCTTTAGCCAGCGCCCTCACCCGCCCGTCTAGCCATTCCTTGTTGCTGCGATCCCCTTGAATTGCCTTGGGAGTCGCTGCTTCACTATAGCCAGACTCGATAGGAACAGATGCACTGGAATCAGTGTTGTTTCCTGAAGGAGTCAAGTTTCCTTCTCCATCCACTCCGCCTTCTCCTTCGCCCTCCCATTGCCCTTCTCCTCCCCCCTCCGCTTCCTCATCCTCGTTATCAGGCAACGCCGTAGCAAACAAGCCGGGAAGCCCACCGCGATACGACAGCACAGGCGGCACGGACGCTAGAGTCACAATATACTGTTTACGAAAATTACTAACGAGGATAGGCGCGACTCTAGCCGTCCGATTCCCGACCAATTCCCCCGCCGACGCGCCTGCAGCTGAGTCTCGAGTCGCGTCGAAAGACGTTGCCCCTGCAGCCGCCGCGAGAACCACTGGCGAGAGTGACAATAACGAGGTCCACGTCAGCATACAGACTACCGTAAATAGCGCCGCTGATCTTCCGCGATACCAGCTCACACAAGTAGTCACGGGAAGCCGCATTCGCCGGTGCGCGGCACGGAGTGTCCGTTTCTGAGGCGCCTCCGAAACCGAAGCGCGTGTCATGGACGAATGGGAAGGAGTTATCGCGGGATAAAATCGCGGAAGAGCGCGGGATGCAACAGATCCTTTTCTTCTAGGCGCATCTTTGACTAGTGCGCGTCTCGTAGTCAAATGCATATTATCAAGTCGTCGACGAAGCCTCGCAAGAGGCCCACTACGTGAGGAGAATACATGCCGCATTATTCGTTTGAGTGGTGTTCGCACGGCGTGGGAAATTTTAAATCGAATAGGAGGCGTCGCACCATGTCGCTCGTGGCGTGAGTGCCGTCTACGAGTTGAGATATTATGCCGTTCTCTAGAAACGGAGCACTGAGTTGGGCGGGTTGCAACGGCAGCCATGCTTTTTGCGGCCGTCCGGCGTCGTCTTGCGACAAGAGTGCGACGTTCTGCTGCGACGTTGTCATCCGGGCATGTTCGCGAACGAGGTGTCATTCTCTGCAATTCTCTAGAAGCCATTTCTGAAGAACGCGTTTTAGAAGCTAGAATCTTGGGACGCGTAAAAAATTGTCTCTCTTCCTGAATTTCGCATTCTAGGAACGAGTGAATCGCCTATTGGACGTATATAGAATAACCTGATCATCATAACTCGCTTCAGCGGCTCAAGCCAGCGAACAGGATACACGATCCCTTTTTCGGCAATCAGGATGAGGCGACTCGCATTGCTCAAGATAACCCAACTGTGGTTGTAGAGAACGACCATCGCCCCCTAATTGCCCAGTAGCTAGCCAAGTAATCAGCACTTGTTCTTATCACGGGCACGGCTCCCCTTCATCAGCCATTGTACAACGCGCCTCGTGAAGAATTGAGAATTGCTTGGATGGCAGCTTTAACATTCGAAGGTGGTGGGATTGACAAGCCGCCCGCACGAGACCCCAGTTTGAATTGACGAAACAAGGATCTCGAAACGTACTTCGGCTTATTGTTTGCAGTGGGACAATGAAAACCAGCTGTTCGAACTGCAACCGGAAACTCGGCGTGAATCCCGGTTTTCGCAACGAAACACGACCTACGAAAAGGGAGCCGAAGGCGTGCGATGCGTTACGTGGGGCAAGCGATTGCGTTCTCATCGCCAGTCCCGGTGTTCGTAAGTTCGTGCGTGCGCCAGCTCACAGAGCCTTCCCCAACACTGCTAATCTTGTTCCATTAACGAAAGTGCTTTCTGTGCTGCTCCCCTTGTCTTGGAGTCCAGTCACACAAGCGGTCAAAGCTCTGTGCTCTGATTGTACTGTACTTCGTAGTACAAACGAAATTCATAGTAGTACAAAAGAGGAAGCTGATATACACAAAAATGTGCTATATAAATGTTTGACCATTGTAAATATACAGATAAAGTACAACCCCTCCCCCCAACCTAAAACATCATGCATATAGCATTATTGCAAGCAGAGCCGCATGAGGAGTTGGTTTTATTCTGGACCACTCTTTAAATCGGACTGACGGGGCTTGGGAACACCGAAGCGGGGTGCGTGAGTAAGGCAGAATCGCCACTGCCATCGCCAGCAAAGCATGATTGCGGGATGGAGTATAAATCATGATTTCCCTGCAGCTCAGGCATCATGGTAGGTGGTGTAGTTGCAGCTGACATAGAGGCACCAGAGGCAGCAGAGGTAGCTGCTGAAACAGCAGCAGCAGCACCACCAGCAGCAGACGAAGCAGGGAAAGCAGCAGACGTAGCAGGGAAAGCAGCAGCACCTGCTGCCTCCGGAAAAGCACTGGCAGATGCAGATCGGCCAGCAGAATCCAAGGGGGAGACAATCGGAGAGAAGATCTGAGAAGATTGACCGGGTTGACCAGGTTGACTGGGTTGACCGGGTTGACTGGGTTGACCAGCAGTGTATGGAGTCACTCCCAGCAAGCTCTCAACTGCCTCTAGCTCCTGTAGGGGCACGTCCAGGTTCGGATCATCCAGATTCTGACACGTGTACAAAGCAGGATCCAACGGCTCACACGCGCCGAGAGCCGCACTCAGGTACCGAAGAGTCTCGAGCTGAGAGGACGAGCCTGGAATGCCCTTGGGAACTCCGGAGAAAGGTGTGCCAGTGATGATTTCGGGCGGCGTGAGTTGTCTGTATGGCAGGTCGGGCACTGAGGATTTTTGCGCAGGACCCTGCTCCACTTGCAGCAAAAGTGGCTCACTGAAACTGCAAGCTTCATTCTCCTGCTTGAATCTGCATGCCTGATCGCCCCCCTGCGCAGCAACGAGCATGTCAGCAGGCAGAGCGGCAGCATTCATGCGCGCATCACTCTCAAAGCTCGCACCACTCGCCACCTGTCCTGTCATATTTCCCCCACCGCTTGTCATGCCCTGCTCTGTCATGCTGCTCGCACCTCGCTCCTTGAACGATTTTTCAAAGAGAGCCTCGAGCATCGCTGCTGGATTCTTGTTGGAGGGTTTCTTCGCACTGCAACCCTTTTCCAATCCTCCTGAGGGCTTTCCGATCCTTTTCCCCTGAGACTCCCCTTGAACAAATCGTGCAGCAGCGGCTTGATGTGCTGGTTCGGGCCAAGCCAGAGGGCCAGGTCCGGCTCTTGAAGCTGAGACGGGGAGCATCGCGGCTTCAAGTGTAGCTTGGGCGTTGCTGATTGGGCGTGCAGGGATTGTGCTAGTCATTGCTTGGTGGCCGTGGCGCTGCTGCTGCTGCAGCTGTGCTGCCTGACAATAAAGCTGCTGGGTGTATGCCAGTTGTTGCCGTTGCTGGAACATTCTTGTGATCTCTTCTTCCAGTGTCTGTTGTCTCTGCTCCTGCGGTTGCAGCTGCTTCCGCAGTTGCTGCTGCTCCTGCAGTTGCTCCAGCTTCTGTAGTTGTCGCTGCAATTCCGCCACCATCAGATGCTGCTGCTGAACCTCCTTCTGACATCCATGCTGCTCCTCACATCCCAGTTGTTGCTTAAATCCCAACAGCTGCTGCTGACCGTACTGAGCAGCCTGCTGTTGCTGCTCCAGAAACTTCTCCTGTGGCAGATTCTGCTGAGTCAGCATCATCCGATTCTCCATCATTGCCAGCTCAGCAGCAATCTGAACTTGCTGCTGCTGCTCCGCCTGACGCGCCTCCATCAGCAGCCGCAGCTGCTGCCGCTGCCGCCGCCTCAGCAGATACAGCTGCATCTGTAGCGCCACCTCATCATCTGGTGCAACCTCTGCCACGTCAGCATCAGGAGTTGCAGCAGGTAAATTTAGAGCTACAGGCCTATGAGGAGTGGGTGTAGACCTTGCTCTTTTTATCGTGCACTCGAATTCCAAGCCGGTGTCCTCCAAATCGGGCATAACACCCAAGTTTACGTTTTCTGAACCTGTAGTTATTGAACGCGCGAAAGCTCTCTTTCGCAGATTGCCACCCCCGCTACAGTCACGTTCGTGTTCGTTCGTTGTTGGACAAGATGCGGAGTCTTGGATGCGAGCACGTCGAAATTCTTGCGAAAACTGCTGCGGATCAATCAGATGCGGAACCTGCTGTTGCTGTCCAATCGTCGCCGTAACACTGCGGCCCTCGCACGGCACCACCACGGTGCCTCTTTGCGCTCCCTCGGCGTTGCGAAGTCTGGCGAAGTCATCGAGCGAACTCTCGGTATGCGACTGGAACGGAGGCATGCGACCGCAACTGCGACCAGTAGCGAAAGGCCCACTCGCGGCAGTCAGCTCCGGAACCCTAAAAATCCGCTGCGGCGAAGCAGCCGCCGTGGGAGTCGCAGCAGCCGCAGCGGGAGTCGCAGCAGCAGCAGCAACACATGCCGGGGAAGTCGCAAAACACACCCTCGTCGCGGGATGCAGAGACGAAACCGCGGCGCCGCCAAGCTCTGACGTTGGCGATGATCCGCAATCTCGCCGCGGCTGAAGCGCTGGACACGCCGCGAACTGCACGGCCGCGTTTCCCCCCACCGGCGCAAGCGCTGCTGCCGCGGACCACTGGCGACGCGACGCCAATTTTTGGGAGAGCTGCGAATTTCCTCGCAGCGAATTTTGCGAAAGAATCGCCGCGGCTGCCTGCATCGCAGGCAATTCGTCGCCGCACGATTTTTCTTGCCGGACGACCGGCGCGACCATCCAACCCATATCGCGACCCCAAGCCTCGGCCAATTCCTCGAGCCGCGGCGACTTCGACGCCGCAGGTAGTGCTGCCGGCGCCGTCGCAACGCTCTGTGCGAAATTCACGGAAGGCTCGACCCGGCCCGGGTGAACGTGCTGCTGCTGCTGCTGGAACGACGACGCGGCTCGTGGAGCCATGGTAGATACACCCAGTAGCCACTGTCGTTGCACGCACTGGGCTGGACCTTTCTGTCGTAGTAACAGAAGTAAAGGTGCTATTACCGTGACGCTCCTCTGAGCCGGTGACGAACTCGTGCGCGATTCTGCCAACGCGATTTTGCGCTACCAAGTCCGGTCGCCGGTGAGCCAACCGCGTTCAACACAACTTCGACTCCGATAATCTAGCAGAGCGTATGTCAAGAACACTGCCTAGAACACTGCGAGTCTGTAGCCGTTGCGGTTAACGAGTCTATTGCGAGTCCAGAAATGAGTCACTCCGTGGCGTTGGGCGGCGGAAAGCCGGGTGAAAGCTGGGATGGGACCCGGCGGGAAGGAAGATTGTAGTATCGCTATTACACGTTACGACAAGACATTTGCACTATGGACGAGTCTGTCAGGATGACCTGTGGGAAATTATGCACACCACAAAACCTTGCACTCTCTAGCAGCCTCAAGGGATACCGCGATTCGCGAACCCTTCCCGTACGGGTGAGAAATTGAGACAGAAGTTTCATACATACGTCGCAATGCAATGCAACCGTTCCTATCCACAAAGCCTAGGCCGTCACGGAAACACGAAGCGCGCGAGGCGCTGCAGAGCAAGACTATCACGTGCGGGCAGAGGGGTTACAAATGGGCTGGAGACTGGGGATTTGGGATAACAGACGAGTGATTTGGATTGATCGGATTTGTGATGTAGATTGGAGGATGTACGCACAGCAAGCGTCGGATTGAACGAGGTAAGCGCGTGGTGACGCTTATGGTTTGTTCCTAAAAGCTGCCACACTGTGGGTGGGTGGGCGAGTGTGCGCTCGGTCTTTTGTGTTCTATGGCGTGGCGTTGCTGCTTCGAGTCACTTGGCTTATTCTCCGAAGTTGATTCGCTGCCACCATCGCGCAGTCTCCAACAAGTGAAGAGAGGAGTGCTTTGTTCCTCCCTGCAGACAACACAAAAACGCTTCCACAGCCTTGCTGTGCTTTGTTCCTCCCTGCAGCCGCACAGACGATCGGTTTGCAGTTCGATGAGTGACGGGGGGGAGACGCGACGCGATTCGATGTGCAATTGTGGTGGAAGCAACGAGATTCTGAACTCTTTCTGGAGATGGGGTGTGCAAGCGGCTCCGGTGTTGTCTCGAACCGATGGACCCAGACGGGATTTGAGTGAAGGAAAGAGGCTTCTTGAAAAGAATCAGAGGTTTTTCCGGAAAAACAGACTTAGCTGACGTGGAACTTTCGAGATATCTTTCCGAGCCTGATTGTCTGGTCACAGCGAGCCTACGCGACCGTTCCGAGCCTGATATTGCAGTCTGGGTGATCATGAAACAATCCCCTAGTGCCTCACCACAACAAGAAAGACTGTAGACAGGGATAAGAGGCACGTGACAAGCAGTGCTTGCCGAGTAAAACGACAAACGGCCCGAACGTGAAAAGATGATGACGGTGTAGATTCATGCTTTTCCAGACAACAGCCTTGGGATGTCGAGAAAATCAGCCGTTGGATCTATGAATCCGAGGGACCAATTCGTGAAGGATAGGAGCTATCCAACTTGAACGGTGTTAAATTTATGAAGAACGGTTGATTACGGTGAGCAATGGTACTTGCTCACATTCATGCATGCTAATCTATTCGTTATGAAGTTACCCGTGTTGGTGAAAAGGTTCTCTGTACAAGATAGAAAGCCTTCAAACTGTTAGTGTATATAGGCGTGCAAACCAAACACTGCCGTGGTGATTCCAGGGAAGCAATTTAGGGACTCCGTCCAGAAGGAGAGCTTTCTGGCTCCGTCGAATCGCCCGTACGCCGATCACGCTGCGCGCGGTGACACAGCCTCCGCAATGGCGGAGCGAGACTCTCCGCGCGGTCCACCCGGGGCGCATTCTAACGACGGGCCGCCTCTTCTCGACGCGACGACCGAGGAAAAGTCCCCGTTCACCCATCCTCCTCAACCGCTTTCGGCGCCAGGGTTCCCCGCTTCGCCCAACCTGCCCGCCGCGTTTCCCGCGGCATCCGATCTGCCCGCTTTCCCCGGTGGATCCAGCCTTTCTTACGGCCGGAGCGATTCTCCTCTCCCCGCGTGCCTTGCGCCGCGATTCACGCAGACCAAATCTCGCGACGACGTGGCTGCCGATTGCGCCATGCCTCACGCGTTCAAGCAGTCGCTCGACGACCTCTGCTGCCTGAATCTGATTGGGTCTCGAAACGCCACGCTCGAAGCGCCTCGGAGTACCAACCGAGCCGCGCAAAATAAAATCTTTGACGATTTTTCCTGCTTAGGGTTAGGGCTCGACGACGAATCCGACGGCCTGTTCCGATCTGCGCCGCAAAGCCGCTCCGTTTCCCCGCCGCCCGCCTTTCCCCCTCCGCTCGCCGCTCCCCCCCCTCTGTGCCCAGAGCGCGCGGCTCCAGACAGCGCGCCCGGCGCGCAGGTCTCCGCATTCAGCGCCGCGCTTGCCGCCGCCACTGGCGCCGCCGCCAAAAGCTCGTCTGCAGCCTTCGCGGCAGATCAGCTCCCCCAACACCCGCGCTCCGCCTTCCCGCCATCCCCCGCTAATGTCCCCGCTGTTCCGCTCCCCTCTTCTCGCCCCCCTTCCTCGTCGTCCCCTCACCCTTCTTGCCCGCTTTCCCGCGAGTCCGGTTTAGAGACGTCTTTAAACTCCTCCTCCCATCAATTCTCATCCCGCCCCTCCTCCTCCTCGTCCACTCACCCTTCTCACCCGCTTTCCCGCGAGTCGCTGCTGCGGCGACCGACGCGGATTATATTAGTGCGACACGGGCAGAGCGAGGGGAACTTGGACGAGGGAATCTACACCCGAATCGCGGACTCGCGCGTGTCTTTAACTCCGTTGGGATTCGAGCAGGCCGTGGAATGCGGCAAGCAGATTAGGAAATTAATCGAATTCGACCGGCGGAAGGGGGGGAAGCAGGGGACAGGCAGGGAAGGGGGGAAGGAGGAGAGGCGAAATGTAGGAGCGGGTGACTCTGGCGAGGGTGATTATAGTGGAAACAAGGAGGAGGATGATTGGGGGGTGTATTTCTACGTATCGCCCTACCTGCGAACCCTTCAGGTACTAATCTGTGTGCCTCAAATGAGAGGCGTGAAGTTCCGCACTGCTCAGAAATTCCGCACTGCTCAGCTGATCTCAGCACGTTCCACTTCTCGTGAGTGCCTCAAATGAGAGGCGTGAAATTCGGCACTGCTCAGCTGATCTCAGCATGTTCCACATCTCGTGAGTGCGTGCTAGCAGGTGGTGGGAGTGGGGAGTGGCGAATGGGTGGGTCATGTCTGAGAGAATGGGTGACTCAAAAGGTGTGTGACAGTAAACCGATGTGACAATGCCCCACTTACCCTTAACCCCCAAAACCTTGAACCCAAAACTGTGCTAGCAGGTGGTGGGAGTGGGGAGTGGAGAATGGGTGGGTCATGTCTGAGTCGAATCAAAAGGTGTGCGACGCGACAGTAAACCGATGTGACAATGCCCCCCTTACCCGTAAACCCAAACCCCTGCACCCTGAATCTGAAACAAAAAGAATCGGAAACCCCCTCTTCTCCCTTCTGCAGACTTTACGCGGTATAGGGCGTGCGTTCGAGAGGCAGCACATTTTGGGTGCGACCCCTCTCATTCATAAACCCTAAACCCTGAACCCCTTTCACCTCCCCGCTGCAGACCCTGCGCGGTATAGGGCGTGCGTTCGAGAGGCAGCACATTTTGGGTGCGAGGGAGGAGCCCCCCACTGCTTTGTGCTCTTGGCTCCCCCCCTCGTCCATATACCCTAAACCCTGAACCCCTCTCACCTCCCCGCTGCAGACTTTACGTGGTATAGGGCGTGCGTTCGAGAGGCAGCACATTTTGGGGGTGAGGGAGGAGCCTCGGCTGAGGGAGCAGGACTTCGGAAACTTCCAGGTAAGAGGGGACGGTTTTGAGAAAACTTCCAGCTTAGGGAAGTCAGGCTGTGGGGAACTTCCAAGTATAAATAGGTGGGCCTAGGAAGCTTCGTATAGCAAAGGCAAGCAATATTTGCTGAAGTATTTAACTCCACTGTGACAAACCACTTCCCATCACTCTTCACCGCACTGCACCAGGTGCAGGAGTGCATGTGGCAGATCAAGGGCATGAGGCAGTCGAGCATGCTAGGGGACATCCCTTGCGCACACCACCACACCTAACCCCCCCCATCCCACAGCAACAAACCACTCCCCACCAATCTCCACCACCCTCCACCGCACCCCATCACACCAGGTGCAGGAGCGCATGAGGCAGATTAAGGACATGAGGCAGCGCAGGCACATCAGTACCCCTCGTGCACATCACCACACCACACTCCACCGCACCAAACCTCATCTTGCCTCACCCTACCCCACCCCACCGCACTGCACCAGGTGCAGGAGCGCATGAGGCAGATCAAGGACATGAGGCAGCGGTTTGGGCGGTTCTTCTACCGATTCCCTGAAGGGGAGTCGTCTGCTGACGTGTACGACCGTGTGACTGGTGGGTTGCACTGCACTGCACCACTGTGCAAGCCACCCCACCACACCACACCACACCGCACCGCACCACACCACACCACACCACACCACACACCACACCACACCACACCACACCACACCACATGTATCGAAACACGATTCCCTAAGGGGAGGTCGTCTGATAACGTGTACGACCGCGTGACTGGTGGGTTGCACCGCACTGCAACGCACTACACCATCAGTTACCGCCACGTCTCAGCACAGCAGAGCAGACATCTTCAAAATTCTAAGCTGTGAGATTCTTTTTCCAGTGATGTGTGCGATCGCATGTGCAATTGCTGGTCTCAGTCTACGCTTGTTTTGAGACGTCTCGAAACTCAAAAATTAACCTCGAGTGACAGATCTGCCTGTTTCTTATCCTCCCTCTCCCCCCCCTCCCTCCCTCGCGTCCCCCCTTTTTCCCAGGTTTCCTGGACAGCTTGTGGCGGGACATAGACTGGTGTCGATTGCACCCCCCTCCTCCTCCGCCTCCTCCCCCACTTTCAGCCCACCCACAGGCTGCTGCTGCTGCTGCTGCTGCTGCTGCTGCCACCGCTGCTGCTGCTGCTGCTGCTGCTCGTGCTGCTGGTGCCGCTGCTGATTGTTCTGCTGCTGTTACTTTTGACGCTGCTGGTGTTGCTGGTAGTGCTGGTGCTGCGGGTACCACTGATGTTACTGGTAGTGCTGGTATTGCTGGTTCTGCTGTGTTGGGGCGGGACGAAAGGAGGAGCGATGGGGCAAGAGGAGTAGAGCAGGAGCGAGAGGAAAGGAGGGGAGACGGGCGGGTAGATTCGGCACATGCACATGCGGACACACAAACACACGCTGCTGCTGCTGCTGCTGGTGCTGCTGCTACTGCTGCTGCTGCTGCTGCTGCTGCTCCTCCTCCTGCTGCTGCTGCTGCTCCCACTCCCACTCCCACTCCCACTCCCACTCCCACTCCCACGGCCCCTGGCTCACCCGGACCACCCCCTCCCCCGCGGCGAAAAGCGCTCAACATAGTGATGGTGACGCACGGGCTGACCACGCGTGTGTTCCTCATGCGCTGGTTTAGATGGACAGTCAGGCAGTTTGAGGGGTTGTTAAATCCAGGCAACTGTGAAATACGAGTGATGGAGATGGGCGAAGGGGGGAAGTACAGCCTGGCGGTACGGCATTCGGAGTATGAGCTGTTTTCCTGGGGACTGACGCCCGAGATGATCGCAGGTGAGCTTTAATCCCCCTCCTTTTCCTCTCCAAGCGCTCAACATAGTGATGGTGACGCATGGGCTGACCATACATGTGTTCCTCGTGTGCTGGTTCCGCTGATTCGAGGGGCTGCTGAATCCGGGCAACTGCAACATGCAGGCATGATGAGGGCTGTGGACAACAGGAAGGCCTTGTGTTGCTGCTCGGACTCAAGTTCAAACCTTATGTTCTGTGTGACTGTGTTCCCCTTCCCCGTCACCTTTGCAGACCAGCATGGCGTTCTGTACCATGCTGGTACAGTGCATGCTGGTACAGTGCATGCTGGTACAGTGCATGCTGGTCTGCAAACGGTGGGTATGGTACAGGACCAGCATGCGCGCATGGCAAGGGCAGTGGGAGGGAGGCAGGAAGGGGGGTGACTATTGAATGGACTATGCTGATGTAACTTTTGTAACTTTTGTAACTGTGTTTTTTCCTCTTCCCTTCCCCTATGCAGACCAGCATGCACGCATAGCGAGGGCAGTGGGAGGGAGGCAGGAAGGGGGGTGACTATTGAATGGACTCTGCTGATGTAACTTTTGTAACTGTGTTTTTTCCTCTTCCCTTCCCCTATGCAGACCAGCATGCACGCATAGCGAGGGCAGTGGGAGGGAGGCAGGAAGGGGGGTGACTATTGAATGGACTCTGCTGATGTAACTTTTGTAACTGTGTTTTTTCCTCTTCCCTTCCCCTATGCAGACCAGCATGCACGCATAGCGAGGGCAGTGGGAGGGAGGCAGGAAGGGGGGTGACTATTGAATGGACTCTGCTGATGTAACTTCTGTAATTTTTGTAACTGTGTTTTTTTCCTCCTCCCTTCCCCTATGCAGACCAGCATGCACGCATAGCGAGGGCAGTGGGCGACAGGAAGGGTCGCGGCACCTCGGGATCTCCGGGGTGGCTGTCTTTCTTCGACCACCTGGAGACCCCCTCGAGATCACCCCCTGCAGTGCCTGCAGCAATGAGCACGAGGGGTCACTGCTGCAGCAGCACGAGGGGTCACCTCGGGAACTCCGGGGTGGCTGTCCTTCTTCGACCACCTGGAGACCCCCTCGAGACCACCCGCTGCTGCTGTGCCCGCTGCAGGTGAAGCAGCAGTGGCAGCAGCAAGAAGAGCAACTCTTTGAGCCGACTCACAGCTCTCTTTGTTACTGTGTTCTCTCCTCCCTCTCCCCCTCCCCCTCCCCCTCCCCCTCCCCCTCCCTGCAGACCAGCATGCGCGCATGACGAGGATGGTGGGCGACAGGAAGGGCCGCGGCACCTCGGGATCTCCGGGGTGGCTGTCTTTCTTCGACCACCTGGAGACCCCTCCTTTATCTGCTGCTGGAGAAGCAACAGCAGCAGCGATAGGAGCATCAGCGATAGGAGCAGCAGCAGCAACAGATGCGGCACCGGCAGCGTCAGCAGCAATGCCAGCGGGAGCAACAGCAGCAGTGGCAGCAGCAGCAGCAGCAGCAGCACCACCACCAGCAGCAGCAGGAGTCTCCAGGTGGTCGACAGCAGCAATGCCAGCGGGAGCAGCAGCAGCAGTGGCAGCAGCAGGCAGAGCAACACCAGGTGTAGCAGCAGCAGGAGCAGCAGCAGCAGCAGGAGCAGCAGCAGCAGTAGCGACATCAGCAGCTAAGTCCTTTCAGGTGTCACATGCTTCTAGCCGTCTCCCACAACCGGTACCCGCTAGTCTTCCCTCTGAAATCTCCCTTTCTATGGAACTGGTGTCTGGTGCTGCTGCTGCTGCTCCTGCTGCTGCGGCTGCTCGTCCGGCTGCTGGCTCGGCCGCTGGTTCGGCGGACGGTTTTGATTTTGCTGCTGGTGCTGGTGCATCACTTGAAGGGAATGGAGGGAAAGAGAGGAAGCAAGCATCCATGTTAGGAAATGGGGAACAGGATGAGGAGGAGCAAGAAATGGAGTGTGAGGGAGGTGGTTTTGTCTTCATGCCCCCAGGAGCATGTGATGAAGTGGGTGGTGGTGACGGCAATTTCAGCCCTACTGCAGGGGATGCTGATGGTGGTGTTAGTGGGTCTGTGGAGTGGGATGGTGATGGCAGCAGGTGTGTAGAGGAGGATAGTGCTGGGAGGATTTTGGGATGGCGACGAGAGAAGTCGGTGGCAGAGAGCAATGATTCCACCCCGATATGATTGAAAGAAAGGAAAGGTCTGTTAAGTGGAGTACAGATGGCACCAGGTGTGTGAAGGGGGGGATCATTCAGGAAGGAGTTTGGGATGGCGGAGAGAAAAGTCGGTGGCAAAGAACAAGCAATGATTCCACCCCGATATGATTGCACAGGAATATACTTTCAAGGCGCCTCAAAAATAGATTTTGGGATGACGACTACAAGAGAAGTCGGTGGCAGAGAGCAATGATTCCACCCTGATATGATTGTGCGGGGAGGGATTACGAGGTGCACCTTTACTTGTACTATACCAGCTTTGTACCATACCGCTTTGGCGTTCTGTAAGTCATAGCATGAACACAGCATGTCTCTACACGTAGATGGGGTTGGCTTGGCATGGTTCATTTCGAAATATATGTTAAAACCCGTGGGTCAAGAAGCCCAAATTTGACTCATCCTTCCTAATGTTGGTTGGGTGTCCCAAAAACGCCAGTGCTTATTCCCGAGTTTTAGACCTAGGCCAACATTTTCGACACTCCTATTAGCTCGCGGGCGAATACCGTCCTCACTCCCAACCTGGCCTGCGGGTTAGAAAGTCTTCCATGCACCAGCTACACATGTGATGTGGGTGGAGCGCCCACACCAAGATTGTAACAGATGGGTGAATATTAAAGGACTTCGTAGTTAGATTCTGTCTATGTTGTTTCTGTCGCCAGTGAAGCGTACCTGTTGGACATTGCCATTAGTAAATCCAGCAGCCAGACGTTATCAACAAGAAATGTGTAACAAACCCACAATAAGAATGTGTACCCCAAAAATTACAAGGTCCAAATAGAACCGCACAAACAAGCCTAAGACATGGCATGTACATGACTTAGACGTTGTAGTTCTCCTGGTACCACTTGTACACCTCCGTGAGGCCTTCCTTGAGCCCCACCTTGGGCTTCCATCCAAGCGCGTGCAGCTTCGAGCTGTCCATGAGCTTCCTGGGCGTGCCGTCGGGCTTGGTCGTGTCCCACGTGATCTCGCCCTCAAATCCCACCACCTCCTTGACCGTCTCTGCAAGCTCCTTAATTGTGAGCTCGATGCCGGTTCCCACGTTCAGGTGGGGGATGTCGCTGTAGTTGTTGAGCAGGAAGAGGAGAGCATCTGGAGGGAGGGTATTCCAAAAAAAAAGGGTTGGATTAGGCAGGACAGATGACAACAGGTCATGATTTGACGAAGGGTGTAAATTAGGTTTGCAAACAAGAACGCTAATTGTTCAGAAAGATCTAACGTTAGTCAGTGGGTTTGGCGATTGAAGAAATTGGGAATGGGTTGAACTTAGCGAGAATCGGACGTAGCGAATGTGAGACTCGACACAAAACTTAGAACAACCTAAAATCCTCCTCTTCATGCGGGTATTCCGTAATTAACACGTGCTAAGGATCAGTTCATGCGTACAACAATCTCACTTACACGGTGAACATGGTGTGCATAATGCAAACCCGCGTGGAATCTCATACCTGCAAGGTCATCGGTGTGCATGAATTCACGCAGGGCAGTGCCGGTACCCCAGCAGACAACCTCCTTGGCTCCAGTCTTCTTGGCCTCGTGGAACCGTCGGATCAGAGCAGGCAGCACGTGGGAGTTGGTCGGGTGGAAGTTGTCGTACGGGCCGTACATGTTGGTCGGCATCGCTGAGATGGCATCGAAGTTGTACTGCAAGAAGGAAAGAGTAACAATGGAGGAAGAAGCAGAAACAAAATGGTATCGGGAAGGAAAACAAGGAGAGAACACAGCACAAGCCAAGGTAAAAAAATTGCACAAGGAAAACAAGGAGAAAACACAGAAACAAGCCAAAAACAACATGCGTACTGAACACACACAAGGTAAGGAAGATTATTAGAAAAAGTAATTAGTTTGTTTCAGGATTTACCTGGATTCTGTAGGCTTGGCACATCTTGATACCGGCGATCTTGGCGACGGCGTACCACTCGTTTGTGGGCTCCAGAGGTCCGGTAAGCAGAGCATCCTCAGTGATAGGCTGGGGAGCAAGCTTCGGGTAGATGCAAGACGATCCGAGGAAGACAAGCTTTTTCACTCCGGCCCTGTAAGCGGCATCAATGAGGTTGGTCTGGATTTGAAGATTGATTCCGATGAAATCGGCGGGATAGACGCTGTTAGCGTGAATTCCGCCGACTTTCGCGGCAGCGACGATGACGTAGTCAGGCTTTTCCTGGTTCATGTACTCCTCGACGAGCGCTTGCCGTGTCAGATCGAGCTCCTCGATGGTTTTTCCGACGATATTGTTGTATCCCTCCTTCTTAAGCTTCCTGCAGATGGCTGATCCGACCAGACCAGTGTGACCAGCCACGTAGATCTTGGCGTTCTTATCCATCACCATCTTGACCTGACGATAACGAATGCATCAGTTACAGACACAAAACACACATTAGCGAACAAGCCCGTGACATTGAATGAACAAAACTAGGTTCTTGGAGAACAGGTTCAGGAAGAACTCTTGTCGATAATGAAGGTAATTAGTAGCTACCTTTGCACGACAGCACTGGGTGATGGCAGAACGAGCAAGATGAAGACGAATCGGGTGATTTGAAGCTGTAAGGCGAGGCCGTGGAAATGGTAAAGCAATTGCACTAGCAATTGCGTCTACTAATTGCTGAAACTGAAGACAGCTACTCAGAAATGCGGTATTTGTAATCCTGAAATGTGCTTGATTGATTTCACGCCCACCCACTCACCCACCTTCTGATTTTCCTCCGCAGGAATTTCAGGAAGGTAGGTGGCTCAATCGGTTCTACAGTACTAGTTGATCCGTCAAATTGGTTCGGAGTCGGAACGGTTTGGTTAGGGAGGCATCTGTCACATTGGTTCGGATACTATGGGAAGATCTATATGCCTGGTGGCATTGATCCAACGGCCAGTCTATCCTACGGTAAGAGATGCGAAACGGCGTGTGATGCGTGTCATGGAGTTAGGTGGGGATGGGTGAGTGGGAGATGATGCTGATTGGGACCGCAGATTTGTGAGGCACTCTGATTGGCTCGCGCTAACATAGACGCTCGACGAAACTGATGAACGGCACCTGAAACTCTCTGTTACTTCCCTACGTCACGTCAGGTGAGTGGGTGGGGCGCGCACACATACTCGAATATGTGACTCGAGGCGTTCCGAGGAGTCGACACCCGCCCGACACACAAAAGCAGTGTTTAGGCCGTGTTACATTTCTTGAAATCGCTGAACGTCCGGACGGCCGTCCGGACGCATGCGACAATTACGACGTCGCGCGGTCGCTCGACGACCAAGACGATGTCGTAAGTAAGCCATACGAAGCATGCGACGTCGTTCAGACCCTGACGAACTCACTGCCGATATTGAACGAGTTTCGTAACCACACAGTTGTCCAGACAGCTGGCCGTCCGGACGACAAAAAAAATGTAACACGCCCTTAGGATGTTTGAGTTCGGCATGTTTTTCCCGCACTCCGTGTTTTGGTAAACTCCCAGAACGAGCTCGTTTCTTGCTCAACTCTTGCTTACGGCCTCACTAATGGAAAAAAAGGGTTGAGTATTTAGAGCGGGGCTGGCACTGACACAAATATATTTTTTTTTTTTTGTCAATTACAAATGTAGAATTTGAAGAGCAAAACACTTAAATCATATGCCACATCACCCAGATGCATCAGTATGAGGGAAGACAACAGACACATAATCTTTACAAAGAAAAGCATCGCACAAGAGGAGAGGAACGGGAAAGAAAGACACCAGAAACAACTCAAACGCAACACCCATAAAAAGCCCCATAAAAATACTCTATAAAGAAAAAACCCAACCAGGATCCCCTACCAGACGTCCCATCTCGCACCCCATTCCCCCTCGCCCCCCCCCCCCCCCCCTCCCCCCCAAGTCACATCTGCACATCCACCATGTAGGGGGCCTCCACCCAAAGAGGCCCGCCCTCCACCTCGACATCGTCCCTCTCCCGATCCACCAAGTCCACATTCAACCCCCCCATGGAAGACGCCGCCCGAAGCAGGATGACACGAGCTTGCGCCCGTTGTAACGCCACTCCGATGAGCGCCTTCAGAGACCCCAAAAGGTAAGCCGAGAACGAAGTGTCATCCTCCCGACAAGCCCCCCGTGACACAGCTAGCCCCACGTGCGCGTCCCCCTGCTGTCGAAGCCACCGCCGGAAGCGACCGCCGAGACACCCCCACGTCTCCACTATCAAAGGGGTGAACTGCACGCCTCGGTTCCGTGCAAGAAGAGGCGCGTAATCCCCCGTTTTGCGACGCTCCCACTCCTTTGCCGCCACGCCTATAGACCGCCCGCACTGCCCTAGCAGAGATGGAGACAGTGATAGCGGGTCCGCGACACTAATCTCTAAAGCATGAGCCTCCCCAGCCATTGGTCGTCGCACCGCTACGTCAACCCGCTTCCCCGGCAGCACCGCACTATCCTCCATCGTCACCACCCCCCCTGACGCCTTAGCGATCTTTGCCACCGCAAACTTCACCTCATCATGCACCCGAGATGGACCGTGTTGGTGCTTGCATCTCAGCGCATGATGCGGGTCTGCTGGGTCATCATACGCTGCGCCACAAACACACTTCCCCGCCACTTGCAGCTGCTGGATTGGGAGACCAAGCCGTATAGCAGCAGCAATGCCCCACTCCGCTGCAGTGAATGTGAGATCTGAATGAGCCGGAACTGCCGAAACCCATGCACCAGCCCCCGGGCCCTGAAGGGATGTGAAACGGGCTAGGGTGGCATCGTCACGAGCCAAGCGGCGGAGTGCCTGGAGCTCCTCAACAGCCAACTGCCGCTGCCGCGCCTGGAAAAGCCGAAGAGGAGGGGCCGCCACACACAGGGGTAAGTCCGGCAGCTCCTGGCGTATAGTCGCGGGCAACTGCTCAATGGCCTTGGCAAACCACGGGTCAAGAAGCTCCGCCCCCGCCGAAGTGGTGAGGTACTCTGCGAACATCGCCTCCTCGCCCGCCACCCCCAAATGTGCAATATCCCGTGCGGCCTGCGCCCACCCACAAACATAGGAGAGCGGACTCAAAGAGGCCGCCGCCCGGATCCCAAACCCTCCGAGGCGCACAGGGAGATGCAGCTGCATGCGTGCGCGCCTAGACCTGCCGGGATCCTGCTCCCAAGTGCCAGGGGGGAAAAGCTGCTCAAAGCAATCCTCCAGACAGCTGTCCCACTCTCTAAAGGCCTCCACCACCTCCGGCCGCGGCGGCATAGTCCGGGCCAGGTACATCGGCCGTGCTGAAACTGCAATAGCGAGGAGATGCGAGGCCATCTGGGGGTGGTCGAGCAGGGGGAGCCACGGCAATGGCGCCTGCAACTCGCGAAGCCGCTTCCGTAATCGGGCCCCCTCCCAATCCTCCTCCCCAATAGGCACGCCCACCACAATAAGACCCTCCTCCTCCCGCTGCATCCCCAAAGGCAATGCCCGCTCCATATCCCCACCTCCACGCTCCCAAAACCTGCACTTGTGCGCCTGCACTTCCAGCCCCACCCACTCCAACCTCTCTCGCAGCACCCCAAAAGCCTCCAGAATCCTAGCCGCTGGTCCCAGGATGTAGGTATCGTCTGCATAGCTCAAGAAAAGTAGGTCCCTGAACTCTCTAGTCACCGTCCCCAGCACCTGCTGCTGCGTGAAAGCGAAAAGAAAAGGGCCGAGCGGGTCCCCCTGTCGCGATCCTCGTGCCGACTCAAGACTCTGTACGAAAGGGCCCGCTCGGAGGTTGAAACGCTCCCAAAATATTTTTGATGCGTCATAGTTGAAACGCGACAGCTGGAAGAGCTCCTTTCCTGCCAGAAAACCTGGTGGTGAGGGGAACCACACCCATCCCTTATGCATTGCACCCAGACATGCAATTGAGCTACACTTCATCATGTAAATGAACTAGGGAAATCAGTATCATAACAATTGCTCACACTTACGCGCCATCTCCACGTCTCAGCACACAAATCAAGCATGGAAAGAAGGCTGCCACAATAATAATACACCTTAGCGGAGCCTTCTGCATGTAACAACCATGTAATACCACCTAATAGTACAACTGATAGCACCAACCACACACGCACACACCACCTATATCTTTGCCTCATACGACGTTACTTCACTGCTCTCGTCTTCCGGCTTGGCATCCGCCAAATCGGCGGCCAGTATCGCGACCAGATACTCCGGATGGGTCTTGAGAAAATGCTCAAACTCATCCCAGGTGAGCGACGTCTTGCTGTTGAGCCCCAGCAGGTCGTTCAGCTTAGCCAACTGCAGTGAGACAAGTGAATGAGCAACAGAAGAGAATCAGGGTGGAGTGAGAGGCGTATGAGTTCGTTCCAGGTGAGCGACGTCTTGCTGTTGAGCCCCAGCAGGTCGTTCAGCTTAGCCAACTGCAGTGAGACAAGTGAATGAGCAACAGAAGAGAATCAGGGTGGAGTGAGAGGCGTATGAGTTCGTTCCAGGTGAGCGACGTCTTGCTGTTGAGCCCCAGCAGGTCGTTCAGCTTAGCCAACTGCAGTGAGACAAGTGAATGAGCAACAGAAGAGAATCAGGGTGGAGTGAGAGGCGTATGAGTTCGTTCCAGGTGAGCGACGTCTTGCTGTTGAGCCCCAGCAGGTCGTTCAGCTTAGCCAACTGCAGTGAGACAAGTGAATGAGCAACAGAAGAGAATCAGGGTGGAGTGAGAGGCGTATGAGTTCGTTCCAGGTGAGCGACGTCTTGCTGTTGAGCCCCAGCAGGTCGTTCAGCTTAGCCAACTGCAGTGAGACAAGTGAATGAGCAACAGAAGAGAATCAGGGTGGAGTGAGAGGCGTATGAGTTCGTTCCAGGTGAGCGACGTCTTGCTGTTGAGCCCCAGCAGGTCGTTCAGCTTAGCCAACTGCAGGCACGTGACGGGTGGGAGCGAGGATTGGAAATGGGGGAGAAGTGAGTGTGATGTGAAGGGCATGCTCATCCCTGGAGAGCGACGTCTTGCTATTGAGCCCCAGCAGGTCACACGGTTTGGCCAGCTGCAGGCACACGGCCGGGAGCGCCAAACTGGAACGGGGGAGGAGTGACAGGATAGAAGGGACGGGGGGGAGGTGAGATAGTACATGAAATGCTCCTCCAGGAGAGATACGTCTTGCTGTTGGAGCCAAACTGCGAAGCGACCAGGGAATGAGCAGCAAAAGAGAGTGGGGTGAAGAGACATAAAAGTCCATCCCAGGAGAGAGAGAAGTATTGTTGTGGAGCCCCAGCAGATTGTACAGCTTTGCCAGCTGCAGACACACAGCACGTGGGCGTGACAGACCAGATGGGGAACAGTACAGGAGCAAGGGAGGAGTGAGGGAGGCGAGAATTCGCCCCACATGACAGAGGCCGTGCCGCTGAGTCCTACCCAGCTGCACAGCTTAGCCAGCTGCAGCAGACACAAGGGATGAACAGAGGAGAAAGAGGGGATGAAGAACAGAAAAGGGATGAGCACCAGACCAGAGAAAACCACACTACACTGCACTGCATTGCACCATGTTGCACCGCACTGCACCACACTGCACCAGACCAGCACCCAACCCACCTGGTCTGTGATAGGAACAGATTCCTCATGCCCTCCTTGACCCCGTGCGCTGTCAGCCATGCATCCGACACATTACACAGCACCGCACTGCACCTCGTTGCACCGCACTGCGCTGCACCAGACCAACCCACCCACACCCACCTGGCCATCTGTGATCACTGGGATGGGAACAGCGTTCCTCGTGCCCTCCTTGGCCCCGTGTGCTGTCAGCCTTTCAACTAACACCGCACTGGACCACACAACAGCACTCTGCACCGCAGTGCATCATACAACACCGGATCACACCAGACCAGCACACCCACCCACCTGGTCATCTGTGATTGCTGGGAACATCTCCCTCATGCCCTCCTTGGCCCTGCGCGCTGTCACAACAACACACTGCACCGCACAGCATCACACAACACCGCATCGGACCAGACCCACCCACCTGCTCATCTGTGATCGCTGGGAACAGCTCCCGCATGCCCTCCGTGACCTCCTGCGATGTCAGCTATCTGAACCAGACACCACACTACAAAGTTCCACAGCACCACTTCTGCACCAGACGTACACACCTGCTCGTCTGTGATCGCTGGGAACAGCTCCCGCATGCCCTCCGTGACCTCCTGCGCTGTCAGCCGTCCATCTGAATCCAGATCACACTACTCAGCACCGCATAACACCGCACTGCACTGCCCGGGATCGCACTTCACCACATTGCACCAGACCAACACCAACCTGGTCGTCTGTGATCGCAGGGAACAGCTCCCGCACGCCCTCCTTGGCCTCCTGCGCTGTCAGCCGTCCATCGCCGTCCAGATCCAACTACCCACACTTCACCAGCCAGAACCGCACTTCACCGCATCGCACCAGACCGACCTACCCACACCCACCTGTTCGTCTGTGATCGCTGGGAAGAGCTCTTTCAAGCCCTCCTTGGCCTCGTGCGCTGTCAGCCGTCCATCTCCGTCCAGATCCAACCGCTTGAACGCCTTCTCCACCGAATCGTGGAACTGAGGATGGCGCGACACAAAGACCAGCCCTGCCAGGAACTGCAGGAGGGGCAGGGGAGGGGGGAAAGGGGAGAGGGTGGGTGGCAGAAGGGAAAGAGGGGGTTGGGGTTGGGGTGGTGAGAAACAGGGAGTCAAGAGAAGGGGTCCCGAGCCGTGGGATTGGGGATGGCGGGGCGAAAAGACCAGCCCCCTGCTAGTACACCACCATGGTCCATGCCCCCTGCACCTCGCTGAACCACACTACACCGCAATACACTGCACCGCAGAGCACCCACCCACCTCCCTGAAGTTGATGGTGCCGCACTCGTTGGTGTATAAGAAGAAGTGTATGTTTTTTTAGAATTCTCAAAAACCATACACTGAAGTCAAAGAGCATTTGATAGATAGGTCTCTGAGTCGGGCAGACCCTCTTGCAGCAACCTCCGTACCTTACTATACCCCTGCACCTCGCTGCACAGCACAAGACCACGCTGCACCGCATTGCGCCTCCCAGCACCCACCTCCCTGAAGTTGATGGTGCCGCGCTCGTTGGTATCAAGAAAGTCAAAGAGCATCTGAGAAGCCTCTGAGTCGGGCAGGCCCAGCGCTGCCAGAAACCCAGGGTAACTCACAGTGCCACTGGGGGGGTTGGGAGGAGAGATATGGAAGATGGGAAAGTGCGTGGGTGGGAGGATGGGGGGAGGAGGGAGTGTTGAATTCAGGCCCAGCGCTGCCAAGAATCCGGGGTAGCTCACAGTGCCACTGGGGGGGAAAAGGGGGAGGGGCGAGGGGGGGGGGGGGGGGGGGGGGGGGGGGGAGGAGAAAGGAGGAAGTGGGGAGGGGGAGTTTTGACAGCAGACCCAGCACTGCGAAGAACCCGGGGTGGCTCATGGTGCCACTGGGGGGGGGTTGAGGAAACAGGGGGGTGGTGGTGTAGAGGAAGAGGGGGATTGAGGGTGCAGTGGTAAGTCCGGCAAGCCCAGTGCTGAGAGGAACCCGGGGTACCCAAGGGGCCACTGGTGGGGTTTGAGAGGGGAAGGGTGTGGACCGTGGGCGACAGGGGGCGAGGGGGAGGAGGAGAGGGATTGAAGGTGTAGAAGCAGACCTCTCCTTCCAGAGAGTGAGAGAAAGTGCGCGAGTGAGTGAGTGAGTGAGTGAGCAAGCGGTGAGTGAGCAAGTGAGAGAGGAAAGCACTGCTCACCAGTGCCCAACGTCCATGGCATGGAATCGCCTCAGGTACTGCTTCGCCTCCCTCATGTCCACCCGGAACAGCTGCTCCAGCCGCCCAAACTCCACATTCGCCGTCCCCACCGGCAGCTTGAGCTTCTTTGCCTCAAGAGGGGTTCCTTCTTCCCCCTCCTTCCAAAGAGTGTGAGAGAGAGTGAGTGAGTGAAGGAGGGAGTGAGAAAGTGAGTGAGTGAGTGAGAAAGTGAGTGAGTGAGGGAGTGAGAGAGTGAGGAAGAGAGAGAACGCTCACCAGTGCCCCACGTCCATGGTATGAAATCTTCGCAAGTACTGCTTCGCTTCCCTGACATCCACCCGGAACAGCTGCTCCAGCCGCCCAAACTCCACGTTCGCCGTCCCCACCGGCAGCTTGAGCTTCTTGGCCTCGAGTGCCAGCAGCACGTTGCCAAAGGAGTGGTCTGTGAGGGCCAGGTTGAGCCGCCGTGCCATGGCCAGACGCACCCTCTCGGCGAACTTCTTTGCATCTCTCTTCTCCTCGTCTGTCGGCACGATCACAGGCAGATACTCCACCTGGGAGGGGTGTGGGAGGTGGGGGGACAGGGAGGGGGGGGGGGAAGCGAGGGGGAGAGTGGGGAGGAAACAAGTGGGTTAGGGTGAAACGGAGGCAGCTCGAGCTTCTTTGCCTCGACCGCCAGCAGCACGTTGCCAAAGGAGTGGTCTGTGAGGGCCAGGTTGAGGCGCCGTGCCATGGCCAGACGCACCCTCTCGGCGAACTTCCGGGCGTCCCTCTTTTCCTCGTCTGTTGGGATGATGACCGGAAGGTACTCTAACTGTATGTGGGGGTTGGCATGGCGAGCCATGGCCAGACGGCTTTTGAGGCGCCTCAAAAAGTTTGGAGGCGCCTCAAAAAGCTTGGAGGCGCCTCAAAAAGCTTGGAGGCGCCTCGAAAAGGGGGTTGGGGGGAAGGAGGTGCGGGGAGTCCAAGGTTGGGACGGCGAGCCATGGCCAGACGGGCCCGCTCTGCAAATTTGCGTGCATCCCTCTTCTCCTCGTCTGTCGGGATGAGTACTCTCTCACTCCCTCACTCACTCCCTCACTCACTCCCTCTCTCACTCGCTCCCTCGCTCCCTCGCTCCCTCACTCCCTCACTCCCTCCCTCACACCCACTCTCTCTCACTCTCTCCCACTCCCCCCCCCGTTCCCTCACACCCCCTGCACCCACTCACGCGCATGCGGTTATGAGGCTGCGACATAAGGCGCCAAAGCAAGTGCATATCCGGAAGTCCTTCGGCCACCCAGCAGGGGTCAAAGGACGTGTAGGGGTACGTCACCACCACCGGCTGCACCGGCAGGCCCGGGGCAAATGCGCCCGTCTTGAAGGAGACGAGCGAGCGGCCGTTGGTGGTGGTGGCTTCGGGGAAGAGCAGCACGCGCGCCCAGTCGTTGCACATGGCGCGCTTCTTGATCTCGTATGCTGCGTCCTTGCGGGAGGTGGGGGATGCTCGGTCGACTGGTATGGCCTGGGAGGGAGGGGGGCGAGAAGGAGGGCAGAGGAAAGGGGAGGGAGATGGGTGGAGGGGAAGAGGGGAGGAGCGAAAGGGGAGGTGGAGACGTTCATAATTGTCCCCCCCATAGAGACGTTCCTAATTGTCCCCGCTATAGAGCCGTTCATAATTGTCCCCGCAATAGAGACGTTAATAATTGTCCCCACAATAGAGACGTTCATAATTGTCCCCGTTACAGAGACGTTCATAATTGTTCCCGCTATAGAGACGTTCATAATTGTCCCCGTTAGAGAAACGTTCATAATTGTCCCAGCTATAGAGACGTTCTTAATTGTCCCTGCTATAGAGACGTTCATAATCATCCCCGCTATGGAGACGTACATAATTGTCCCTGCTACAGAGACGTTCGTGCCACCATCAACCCAGTTGTGAAGCCTACAGTACCATAGCCACTACCCACCGTACCCATTTCCGCCCATTACCACCCACACACACCTGGAGTGCCTGCATGATTGCCCCCGCTACAAAGATCTTCATGTTCTCCTTAGCAGTAATAATCATCGGCAGGTGAGCCATGAAGAGGTACACGGGGTCCACAAAGGTCACGTGGTTGCACACGATTATGGGCGCCTCTGCCCTTGACGCGACCCTGCCCTTCACCTGCACACAGAGTTGGGGGTGGGGGTGGGGGTGGGGGATAGACAAAGGGGGAGCATGGCACAGCAGGTGGAGCATGAACAGATAGACCAGGTCTGCAAAGGTGACGTGGTTGCATGAACTGGAATCCACGAGAATGGGTGCCTCCGCCCTTGACGCAACCCTGCCCTTCACCTGCACACACGGGTGAGGGTGGAGGTGGGATGGTGATAGGGGATAGACAGATGAGAGTAAGGCAGGTGAGCCCTGAAGAGGTAAACGTCGTCCACAAACGTCACGGCATTGCACACGAGAATGGGTGCCTCTGCCTTGGACACGTGCTCGCATTTCACCTGCATAGAGGGTGGGACCGTGGGAGAGACCAAAGAGTGTGGAGGGGTGGGGTGAACGGGGGAGGAGCAGAACAGGGAAAGAGGGGATGGGAGGTGGGGAGAAAAGTGACACACTTGCAAGAAAACGAGCACTGGAAGGTAGCGGCTGCGGCAGCGGCTGTAGCAGCAGCAGCTGTAGCAGCAGCGGCTGTAGTGCACCAAGCACATCACACTCACTCACCTCAATCCAGTTGTATCCGCAGGCGAAGAGAACGCCACGTGTCAGCAACTTAGTGGGCCACAGGAGATTCCGCCGCCACTTGGGAAACGGCCTGCAGAGGCGAGAGGGCAAGGGGTGGAGGCGGGGAAAAGGGGAGGGGGAGGGGGGGAGGAGAGTGAGGAGAGGAGATGGGGACGTGTAGTATGGCCTGTAGAGGCAGAGAGCACGAGACGCGCATGGTAGGCGTGAATTAACAGGTGAAAAAGTGAATCGCATTACGCCTACCATGCAGGGTAAGCAACTCGGGATTCCGCGTAATAATGATTCTTTAATAACTTTTGAGAGCATGACAGTCGTAACAGGTTTACTATTCCGCATAGCATTCCTTGATGAGTTTATAGAAGTCGCGAATTTCACGACATTCCAGCATGGTAGGGGTAATGGGTAAGCAAAATGGCATTCCGCGTGGTAATCACTAATTCTCCTGCTTATTCACCATTTGTCAAGGCGCCTCCTGGACGATTAACTCGTGAACCATTTGTCATTTATTCCAGTAACTACAAGCGACAAACGGGACACTGGCAGCTCTCTTCGCAGGAAGCTAATCAATAGCCAAAGAGATAAGCGATAAAGCGAGGAAATTACCAGTTTGCGAAGGGAAAGCAAAAAGCGAAGACGTAACCAACCGGCGGAGAAATTACGCTGATGGCAAGCGAACATAAACCAGAAAGGCAATAAGTAGACATCGATCATGCGTTGCGAGGGGGAAGAGATTACTTTGACTGGATGTGCTTCGCGCCAATCAGCGCGAGGCGCGCGAAGACGTATCCAAAAATAAAGCAGACGAACATGAACACCGCGCGAACGAGGAACACGGGGAACATCAGCGTGAGCTTAACGATCTCGTAGGAGTTAATCGGCGCGCTGTGGTTGACGAACGGATTAAACGGCTCGTCCGGCTGCCTCGGTGGAGCGCCGAACGGAAGCTTCTCGTACGACCGCTTCTTGCTCGCCATTGCGAAGCTTCCGGCTAGCAAAGATATTCGCGATGGACGTCCAAACAAAAAAGTAGGGTAAGTCCAGAAGTAGCCTCGCAACACCACAGTAATTCCGACTTCCTACAACTTCGCGACGCCCTGGGTGCCTAAAGACTAGAAGCTCCTGCTCAAATCAAGGAGTCTTCATTGCACAGAACTAATCAGGCAAGTGAGTGAAATCAGAAATGGGGCTAGGGGGATCACAGACAGGAGGTACAAATGGTTCCGCTATAAAGTCCCGCGCTCACAAAGTCTCGTTTTTTGAATGAGGAGCTTTTTCCTTTAATTCCTAGGTGTGGCCCCTCCTCTACAGTCCCTTTTTTGACCAGGTTCATTGCACGTATAAGTGCCTTGAACATTTACGGAGAATGCTAAAAAGGGCAGTTTTGTTTTGAAGTAAACACTTACAACTGATATTTTTTGTTTCTCTTGACCGCGCTTGTTTCTTATTCCCGTCGCGCGATTCCTAGCGCGCTCCACGATGACATCTCAGTAATCTCGCTGACAGGAAGGAAAAACAAAAAGACAAACTTATTATGGCATCAAACATAATCGATGTTGTTTATTTCTGCCCGTTTTTCACGCATCACTGATAACGCGTAAAACCGTTCGACGAGAAGTTGAAGCAAGCGCGGTCCATACGTACGTATATGACAAAAAACAACAACCAGTAGAGACAAAAAACCGCTTTTCATGCAATTTTCTCGAATTTGGGACTACAGGGGTTTCGAACATTTTGACATATAGTCCACACGCGGCGTGTTTCTCCGTCGGACTTTAAACGAGAACAACTGTAGTTGCTTGTCAGAAGTAGTACCCTGGCCTCCAGGACACCACAGTAAAAAATCCAGATGACTCCAATTGGTAAGTTTCGGTTGCGGGTGTTTTCAGAACGGTTTTTGCGTATACGCGTCGGTGCTGCACGTTAGAACAGCATGCCCCAATTTGGAATTTGGTGCTTGTCCGCAGTGCTGTTCCGCATATGGCTTTCCCCATTGGGGGTCCGCCGTGCCGCAGATTCGGGGATAGCGCAGATGGTCCGCGCACCTTGAGAACTCCGCATTCCGCTCACTGTTGCCGACCGCCAATCGCAGTCGACGGGGGACGCGGGGGGGAACGGCAATCAGGAGAACGTTATTAGGACCAAGATGTAGAACAGTGTAGGGCCAATCGTTACAGCTACACTAAGCACTGATATTATTGCATTAATCTGAAAATCCTTAAATCGTACAACCTAAGCAAGATTAGATACAAAACCCTATACATAGAACCACCCTGATCACACATTCTGAATCTTCTTAATGGTCGCCACGCATCATCTCAACCTGAACAGCAACAGACATGTGAGGAAAAAAACATGAAAAGCAGATTTGGACATCCATTCGCACACGGATGCATCCTTCTCAACAACGGAAATAAATCACAGCACGGTGTAACAAAAAAGAAATTACATACACCGCATGCATCACATATCGAATCGCGGCAATCCACCTGCTGAACCGGCTGGCAGGCGCAGGCGCTTGGATCTCCACAAATGTGGGAACGAATGGCAGGCGAGCAACAGGAGCAGCTCCAGCCAATGATGGGCGAGACGATGGAGGTGAGGGGGAGGAAGCGAGCCGGGAAACTGCCTCCTCTGTGGTAACATGCTGCCATGTGCCTGCCTCATGCATGAGGACTCGGAACTGGGTGGGGTAGGGAGGAGGAGAAGGGGAATGTGGGTGAGTGGAAGTGCGGGTGAGACGAAGCAAGGTCTGCTAGGTCAGGAGGATAGCGTCAGGGGAGGCAGTGTCTAGGAAAGAATACCTGGTGATAGAAGTTGTGTTTTGAGGCGTCTCAGAACACAACTTTTATCACATGGCGTCAGGGGAGGCAGTGCCTAGGAAAGAATACCTGGGATGGTCGCAAGAGAGTCGAGCCTCGTGCGAGTGGTGCCGTTCTGATGAGCGACTGGTGCTCAAACACTGGCTTCACAGGGTTTGATGCTGCTGCTGCTGCCCCTGCTGCTGCTGTTGCACTCAGTGCCTTAGCAACAGCCAGCAACAAGTGCAAAAAATAGCACCTAGCAGGTCGTACCTGGGATGGTTGTAAGGAAGTTGAGCCTCGTGTGAGTGGTGCTGTTCTGACGAGCGACTGGTGCTCAAACACTGGCTTCACAGGGACCGCAGCAGGAGGAGGCATGCCAGCAGCGGGAGTGGCAGCAGCGGGAGTGGCAGCAGCAGGAGTGGCAGGAGTTGCGCCAACGGCAGCGGCAGTGGCAGTAGCAGTGGGTGAAGCAGCAGTTGATAAGGGGAGAGGGAGGGGAGACACGACCGAATGCACCTGCAAAGGGAGCAACGGCGAGGAGGAGGAGAGGGGCAATGGGAAAAGGGGGAAGGGGGTAGTGGGGCTTAAGGCCTTGACAACATCAAGGTTTTTAAGAATCAAGGTTTTTAAGAATCAAGGTTTTTTAGAATCAAGGTTTTTTAGAATCAAGATTTTTAAGAATCAAGGTTTTTAAGAATCAAGATTTTTAAGAATCAAGGTTTTTAACCAATGAACACGGTGCTTTTAAGAATCAAGGCTTTGACCAATGAACACTCATCTTTCAAGGCCGCATTCACACCTCACCTGAGACTTGAGCTGCTGCATCATGTGCTCTCTGACCCCCACACCACCCAGGACTTAATTGAGGGGGACTCAGAGCTCACCTGAGACTTGAGCGTGGAGTCACGAACTGACTGAAGCACAGACGCCCAGCTAGGCGTGAACCCAGCCACACTGATATTGGGAATTCACATTGAGAACTCGCAAGGTGCTATAGCTGCTGCATCATCACTGACCCCCACACCACCCAAGACTTTTTGAGGGGGACTCAGACCTCACCTGAGACTTGAGAGAAATGATGTCTTGAGACGTCTCAAAACATCACTTCTATCACCTGACCCACACACCACCTGAGACTTAATTGAGGGGGATTCAGACCTCACCTGAGACTTGAGAGAAATGATGTCTTGAGGCGTCTCAAAACATCACTTCTATCACCTGACCCACACACCACCTGAGACTTAATTGAGGGGGATTCAGACCGCACCTGAGACTTGAGGGAGGAGTCCAGGGCGGACTGAAGCACAGACGCCCAGTTAGGGGTAAACCCATCCACACTGATTGCTCCTGTACTCATCTTCCTACACCCTACTCGTGTTGCTGCTGCTGCTCCTTCTCCCCTTCCTGCTCCTGTTTCTGCCCCTGCACCTGCCTTACACCCACACCCCGACTTCTTCACAATTTCCCCCCCACTCTCATGCACCCCTTGTGGCTTCCCCTGCCCCTTCGCCAGCCCCTCGCCTTCCCCCCGCTCATTCCTATCCCCGTTACAGAGAGACTCGCAACCCTCTACAGGGACTGCGAGCAGCGGGCGTTTCAGCGCCAGCGATTGGTCCATCACTGCCCGGATCGAGATGGGCAGGCAGCAAAGACTTTCAGCTGCCCGAGAAGCGGTTGATGGTAGTACATCGGTTTTAGCAGCTGTAGCGGCTGCATCAGCTGTAGCGGCTACAGCAGTTGTAGCGGCTACAGCAGTTGTAGCGGCTACAGCAGTTGTAGGTGCTGCATCAGGAATGCTGGTAGGGGACAGGACTTGCCCTGAGAACAACTTTTGAGGCGCCCCAGCAGCTGTAGCGGCTGCATCAGCTGTAGCGGTTGCATCAGCTGTAGCGGCTACAGCAGGAATGCTGGTAGGGGACAGGACTTGCCCTGACTGCGGGTCAAAAAGAGTTGTCAATACGACATTCTGTGTCGACGAGCCGACTGACGTGGCGGGTTCTGATTGGTCGGTGAGAGCCTGTGGGCAGGAGGAGCATGAGAGACAACGAGCTGCAGTTCTTAGCACGGATGTAAACGAAAAAAAGCACACAAAGAGGGAAGAAACGAAACGCTTTTGTGCAAAGAGGAGTGAACAGTACCACCTAAACTTGCCAAAAAAGGTGACTTTTGAGTCGACTCAAAAGTCACCTCGCTTTTGTGCAAAGAGGAGTGAACAGTACCACCTGAACTTGCCAAAAAGCGACTGAGAATTTACTAGTACGGAGCGGCATCATCAACACCTGCAGAAATTGGCATAGCGGCATCATCAATACCTGCAGCGCAAGCAGGGCCGGAAGGCTACCGTCCCAAAGCAGGGCGAGTGCAGGCGAGGAGGGAGGAGGGCCCTTGGTGGGAGCGAGCAGCATAGGCTCCTTGAGAGAGAGAGGATGAACAAAGGGCAAAGAGGGGGGACAAACAGTGAAAGAGGGTGCTATTGGCAAGTGAGTGGCAGGTTAAATGAGCGAGTGCAGGCGAGAAGGGGGCAGGGCCCTTGGCGGGAGACAGCAGCAAGGGCTCCTGTGGGAGAGAGGATGGTGTATGGTGGCAGATGGTGACAAACGACACTCAGAGGCAGGTTAAGTGAACGAGTGCAGGCGAGGAGGGAGCAGGGAACGCTGTGATGGTTACCAGGTAACCACCATGAATGGTTGACTCACAGTGAGGGAGTTGGTTCGTGACATGAAGGCGTTGGTGCGCACAGCATAGTGAACGCAACGAGCATGGTAAGAATTTATCTGCTGGTTACCGGGTTACTACTGCATAGAGTTAACTCACAGTGAGGGAGTTGGTTCGTGACATGAAGGCGTTGGTGCGCACAGCATAGTGAACGCAACGAGCATGGTAAGAATTGATCTGCTGGTTACCGGGTTACTACTGCATAGAGTTAACTCACAGTGAGGGAGTTGGTTCGTGACATGAAGGCGTTGGTGCGCACAGCATAGTGACCAAACGGACAGTGTCTGGTGGCAAGGGGAGAGGATGGATAGGAGGGAGAGGAGGGATAGGAGGGAGAGGATGGATAGGAGGGAGTGGGACGGATGGAAGGGGGCCAAAGCGATGTTGGGGGAAGGGAAGTTGGGTTTCAACGAATGCACTTGCTGCATCACAGGATCACACAGAATCAGACAGAATCAGATTCAGGCAGGCCTGCACTTGCTGAAGCAGAGAATCGAAACATAATCAGATCCAAGCGTGCCTGCATTTATTGCCGCAGCAGCGGCCGGGCTTGAGCAGAGCCGGCGCCGTGAAGACTGAATAGCCTGTTAGGGGGAAACAGGGCACGGGGCACGGAGCACGGGGAACGAAAGTGTGTGGGGAACACGAGCTTGCAAAAATAGCATGCAAGTGTGGCGACACAGCAAGCTTGAGGAGAGCCGGCGCCGTGAAGACTGAATAGCCTGTCAGGGGGAAACAAGGCTCATGTGGAAAAGGCAATGAGTAGGTGTGGTGTGGTGTGGTGTGGTGTGGTGACACAGAAAGGGCAGGCAAAGTAGCAGCAAGTTGTCACCTACTGAAAGGACACTGTGAACGGGCTTTGGGAGAGCCGGCACGGCACTGTCATCACTGAATAACCTGTCAAGGGGAAACAAGGCGCGGGATATGGGGAACGACACTTTTACGGCTTGGGGCTTGTGATCTCTGAATAGCCTGTCAGGGTAAACAAGGCACGGGATCACTGTGATCACTGTGTCAGGGTAAACAAGGCACGGGATCACTGTGATCACTGTGTCAGGGTAAACAAGGCACGGGATCACTGTGATCACTGTGTCAGGGTAAACAAGGCACGGGATCACTGTGATCACTGTGTCAGGGTAAACAAGGCACGGGATCACTGTGATCACTGTGTCAGGGTAAACAAGGCACGGGATCACTGTGATCACTGTGTCAGGGTAAACAAGGCACGGGATCACTGTGATCACTGTGTCAGGGTAAACAAGGCACGGGATCACTGTGATCACTGTGTCAGGGTAAACAAGGCACGGGATCACTGTGATCACTGTGTCAGGGTAAACAAGGCACGGGATATGGGGAACGACACTTTTACGTCGATCGATTAACTGCGACAGGTCCTGTCGTGCATCCCCAAACGAGGCTGCAACACGTGCTTCAGGGTCAGTCAACCCACATAACGTGCCTCGCAAGCAATGATCTTCCTCCAAGTCGATCCCCGGATCCACGTCACAAACGTGAACCGATCGTCGAAAAGGAATCAACGGTCACCTGTTTCAGGGTCGGTGTACGTGGGATTTCCTGCTGCGCGTCCTCCACGTCGATCTTCGGTTCCGCGTACCAAACACAAACCGACCGTTGGAAACGAAACACACAACGCTCACCTGTTTCAGGGTCACCCCAGTGTGACAACGAACTGAATCCTCGACCGGGGTAACATTGGGGTATCACTGTTGGCGACACTGGGGTATCACTAATCGGGGTAACCCTGATGTGACCTTGGGGTAGAAATTTGCGGGGGACTTTTTTGGGATGTAGGTGGAATTCCCCGCCCGCGCATAGTGCTGGTGAGCCTCCTCCATGTCTACACTCAAATTCCGTAGTTAACGCGAAACCCGCCGTCGAAAAGAAACGAAACGTAACGAAGCAATGGTCACCTGCTTTAGGGTCAGTGTAGGTGGAATTCCCCGCCGCGCCTCCTCCGCGTCGATCTTCGGTTCCGCGTACCAAACGCAAATCGACCGTTGGAAATGAAACACACAACGCTCACCTGTTTCAGGGTCGGTGTAGGTGGAATTCCCCGCCGCGCACGCCGTGCGGTGCGCCTCCTCCACGTCAACCCCCAGATCCACCCCCCACACGCCTCCTCCTCCAATAATCTCTTCCTCCGGGGAGGAAGAGGAGCAGCATGAGGGTGAGTCACAATCGTGCCGCTCCTCTGGTTTTGCCGACATGAGGAACGTGCGAGTGTAAGGCTTGATCGAAGGAGTTTCAGCCACAGCACAAGAGAGAAAGGCTAGATGCTCCCTGCCGAGCTCTTTCTTCCCTTCCAATCCGCCTCAACTTCTCTCCACCGCTTTCCACCATGGTTGAGGGAACCGAAGTCCAGGACTGGTGGAATCACGAAGAGAGTGCGGAATCGGTTGAATACGACGCTGGCTGGTTTTCTCGCTTAACCACTTTGAACCGCTGCTCACCAGCCTGGAAATTTTCACGTGAACTGTAGATCGGACTCTCATTACTCAATTCGTTCACTGCATATTCTCTTGGGGAGTGTACTAGATGCAGTACTAAGGGTTTGTATTTTGATTTCCTCACATACAGAAGTTCTTATGTGCAAAACTGGCTATACATAACAATCATAGTATATTAATTAAGAATATCTTCAATATTATTGATAGATATTTCTACAAGCCGATGTCAAAAAATCACCGAAACGTTATGGGAAACCCATAAATCTAATGTGACAGTAATCCCCATGTAATGGTTGAGATAGAATGAAGCTTATGCCAATACATGGAAAAGTAAGTTCCTTACTGCTCACAAAACGGTATCCTTCAGCGAATGTCGATCTCGCAAACAATGTTGATCCCATGTAACACATTGGAACGCTGGCAGTCGAATGAGTCAGCAAGCTGACCGCGAGCACCATTTTGTCCCTTATAACGACCTACTGTACAACAGGCCTTGATTGGAAAACCCCACAGTAACGGAGGCTAACCGCGAGCGAGTAGTATAGCCGGCATAACAATAACAGCCAATCGGCATAGAGCTTCCTGACATTTGTATAGCCACGTGGGCGAAAAAGCTAGACTTGAGTCACTTGACAAACATAGGGTTTCAAAACTCAAATCTAGCATCAGGTTGCCATCCTGCCCAGCTTTTTACTACTGCCGCCCAGCTGGTCCCTCACGATCACGAGATTCGAGGTGGTGGTTTTGGCAGACGCCGCAGACTCCCTCCCTCCTCCCCTGTTTTCCTTCCCATCTCCCTCGTTCTGCGCGACTAGCAAAACCCTAGTGGGTGTCCCTTGTTGACTTTTAATGGGTTGGGATGCGATCATTTGCGTGTCGGTACGGTCCGCTTTGGAACGTTTGGGTAGGGTTTCGAGCGAAAGCGAACACCCGACATGCTGCTGATACGCTGGAAGGGGTTGGTAGTAGGCAGCAAGATTGCTGCAATCAAACATTTCCGCCATTAGGAACCCTCCACATGTGTTTTCATCTTGAGTCCAACAGACCTATGGAGGTTGTCCTGAATTTTGCTTCAGATTCCAGCTTGATTGCCTTGCTTGATGCTCCTCCTCATCTGATGTTACCGGAACGGATTGCAGCCTAGCATTACGCTTGTTTCTACTATTCAGGACAGTGTATGTGATAGTTATAATGTCAACGTGCTAGTGTATTACTATTTGAGTTTCCTTAGTTGTTTGTAGGGGCTCAGTTTTAGCGTTGCTTACTCCAGAAGGGTGGCCTTGACGCAGTTACGCTTGAACGTTGTGTTGCTACTGCAGCGAGGAGCAAGATCCCCCCGTAGAGATTTAGGTATGCCGTGTTTTTTTCTTTTAGCGTTTGACAATTGTTAGTGTTTCTTTTGCTAGGCCGCTGTTTTCTCGCATATTTCTAGCCCTTCGTGTTTCTTTGGTTTTCCCTAGTCTCGTCGCTTCTTTTATCTCTCTGCTCTCATTCCTCTTCGTGAAATGTGGTCGTTATTCTGTCAACAAAAATTTTCCCCTCCCTTTTAACGTGTCGTGCAGGATTATCGTATTGTCCTTCCACCTGATTATTGTCACCAATTGTCTCGGGGGCTGCTTGTAATGGACGAAGTCTGGCCAGCGTCACGCTTCTTCAGCGACGGCTGTAGTTCCTTGTTCGAGAGGTCTGTCTTCGAGGGTCCAACTCTAAGGCACTTTCAGCAACAGCAGCAGCTGAAGCAGGAGCCGAAGCAGGAGCCGCAGCAGCAGTCACTGCAGCAGATGTTAGAATTAATGCAATCTACGAACCAGCCGTATCAACCACTAGCTCAGTCGCAGCAGTTGCAACTTCAGCAGCAGCTGCTTCAACACCAGCACCAGCATCAGCTCCAATTTCAACAGCAGCACATCTTGCCCTCTCGCCTTCCACATCATCCAACCGAGGACAGCTTTTCGTCGCATTCTCTGTTTGAGGAGTCTGGTTTAAAAGATTCTCACATGCTTCCAGCATCGTCGGAAATGTCCACGTTTCCTTTGGCCCAGTCTCGGCAGATAATGCCTGGCTTAGAACCTTCAGGATTAAATTCTTCAGGCAGGTTCGATTCCTCTGGACGATTTTCCTCCTCCGTAGGCTACGATCCGTCTGACAGGCTTGAATCGTCTGGCAGATTTGAATTGACATCGCCGCAGCTAGATTCCCCAGTCGAACATGGAATTGCTGCGTACGATTCATTTGAGTGTTCAGGAAGACCATCCGAGAATCCACTTCCGCCTCTACAGGGATCTCATGAGGCTGCTCCGCCCGACCGTGCACATTCAATTATGGTCGACATTCAGGATTTTTGCTGGGTTAACGAGGATTACTGTGTCAGGTAAGGCAATTGTGATTCTTAACGCAGATGCTTGCTTTTGCGCACCTTTTACCTGCATTCTTAACCATTGTTTTTAGGTTTCGTGCGATAGCTTTTTCTTCGTCTATGTCTAACCTTGTCATTTTTATCTTTCTCTGCCTTGCTCGTCTTCGACCCACCCTCTCTGCACCCCCTTGCAGAGTATACATTCCATTTCCAGGAATCGACGCCATTCCTCCTTCGTACATATCCTCTTCATTCACCGACAGCTCCTTCTGCTTGTTGATAAGGGGCATTCGCGATGGTGTATGCTACCGACTTGCACTCGACAGGTAATTTTCTTCTGCCTGCTTGTCTCGAAATAGGCCATCGTGTTGTGTGTAATTCTTTCCATGTAGTCCCAAGTAGCTCTGCCATTGTGTGCAACTTCTTTCCAGGAATGTTTTGAATGTACATTTATATGTTTGTGCTTGTGTCCTCTGCATCCCATTTGCTTGACCTGCAGTCTTTATGGGGAAATTCAGCCGAACCTGTGTTGTCACCTTGTGTACAAGGATAAGCTTGAGATTACTTTATCAAAAGTCACATCAGGCCCCTCTGATGGACCTGACACGAACATTTTCACATGGTTTAGTCTTAGATTATAAGACCACATGAGGATAAGGGCACTCCATTGTTTATGGTAGTTTAATGGATGTCTCTGTACAAAAATTAACTAAATAGAACCTCTCTTAAATCTACAAGATCCTGAGAGTGTGACGGTGCAATCTCTATTCTGAGGGAGTGATGGTATTCCGGAATTGCTCTTTAGTTTTATGGGTGCTTGTGTGGATCTTTGTAAGACAGACACCCCTCTACTCCCATCCCATGCTGCTCAAACACATCCCACCTTCTATCTAGGATAAACTGCATAAAAACATTCCACTATCCATTCTTGGCTACATATGAACAAATCTACTATCAGATGTTCTACCTGCCAACCACTCTACTATATGGGACCCTACAGACATTCCCCGAATCCATGGATTCATCCAAGTCTTTGAAAATAATACTGTATGTGCAACTCCTGCTGGCACAAACGCAACTACAGTATCCCCGCTTTCTATAAAGCTCTCCAACTCGTCATTAAGAACAGACGCCGCAACAAACAACGCGTCCCTCTCGCCAGCTGTACAGTAATTTGTCTTCCACTGTATCCTGCTCCACTCCTTTCTCTGTATAATCCCTGTTACATCCTTTATCCGCATAACTTCACTTAAGCACGCCCAGGCATAGGTACTGTTCCACGGTAACAGCCCACCGATCTGAGAGGCCGTAACGTCAAAAAACGTGTGGAAAATAAATATGGGGGTTGTAACGTCTTGCAAAGTGTACTGTGGGAAGAAGCACTTCCATTGGTCGGCCTCTGGTAAGCCTGGGGGGAATGAAGAAGGGGTAAGGATTGAGGAGAGCACGGGGATGGAATTGGGCAATGCCTCGGGTGGAGATTCATGTCGGGAGTAGCAGCAAACCTGCGATGCCTATGGTGGCCTGGGAATGACTTTTGAGGCGCCTCAAGAGATGCCTATGGTGGCCTGGGAATGACTTTTGAGGCGCCTCAAGAGATGCCTATGGTGGCCTAGGAATGACTTTTGAGGCGCCTCAAGAGATGCCTATGGTGGCCTAGGAATGACTTTTGAGGCGCCTCAAGAGATGCCTATGGTGGCCTGGGAATGACTTTTGAGGCGCCTCAAGAGATGCCTATGGTGGCCTGGGAATGACTTTTGAGGCGCCTCAAGAGATGCCTAGGGTGGCCTGGGAATGACTTTTGAGGCGCCTCAAGAGATGCCTATGGTGGCCTGGGAATGACTTTTGAGGCGCCTCAAGAGATGCCTATGGTGGCCTGGGAATGACTTTTGAGGCGCCTCAAGAGATGCCTATGGTGGCCTGGGAATGACTTTTGAGGCGCCTCAAGAGATGCCTATGGTGGCCTGGGAATGACTTTTGAGGCGCCTCAAGAGATGCCTAGGGTGGCCTGGGAATGACTTTTGAGGCGCCTCAAGAGATGCCTGGGGTGGCCTGGGAATGACTTTTGAGGCGCCTCAAGAGATGCCTAGGGTGGCCTGGGAATGACTTTTGAGGCGCCTCAAAAGTCGGCTGGGACTTTTGAGCACCAATGCTCCTCTCCTCTTGACAACTCCCCTTTCCAGTCGGCCCCCCTATTCCCCCCATTTCTCACCGTCTTGGCAAGCAGGCCAGCTCGGCTGGTGCAGAGCACTGATGATCTTTTGACTGCTTCCCTCCCTCCCCTCCTCCAACCCCCCTCTATCCCACCCTCCAACCACCCCCCCCCCCCCCCCCCCCCCCCCCCCCCCTATTCCCCTTTTTGCTCACCATCTTGGCAAACAGGCCAGCTGGGCTTGTGCAGGGCAACAATGCTCTTCACACCGTTGCGCCACGTGGTAACCATGTAACCGCTCTGCTCGCATTTTTGAACAGCCATGCATCGCAGCTCACCATCTTGGCAAACAGGCCAGCTGGGCTTGTGCAGGGCAACAATGCTCTTCACACCGTTGCGCCACGTGTAGCCGCCCACTCTATCCTTGGAGTCTGTAAGGGTAGTGAGGGAGGGAGGGGACGGGAGAGAGAAGGGAAGTGGGATAAGAGCAAGGGTGCTCTCGGCTTGTGCAGAGCAGAAATGACTTTTGAGGCGCCTCAAAAGTCGTCTCCTGTCTCGCGGTTTTCATTTTGAGGCGCCTCAAAAGAAAAGTGGGATAAGAGCAAGAATCGTCGTCGCTCATGGCTTGGAAGAGCAAGGGTGTTCTCGGCTTGTGCAGAGCAGCGACACTCTTCACACCGTTGCGCCACGTGTAGTCGCCCACTCTATCCTTGGAGTCTGGAAAAGTAGTGTTGGGTCGAGAAACCGGAAGGGAGAGGGGATGGAGGAGTCAAGTGGGGGGAGGGGGAAGGAGGGAAGGTGCTCTCGGCTTGTGAGTGATTTTTGCGAATTCTAAAAAATCACTCTTGGCTTGTGCAGAGCAGCAATGCTCTTCACACCATTGCGCCACGTGTAGCCGCCCAGTTGGTTTTTGGAATATACAAAGGCAAGTGGGGGGAGGAAGGAAGTGGGGGGAGGAAGGAAGAGGAGGGGGGCTTAGGGAGGGAAGGTGCTCTCGGCTTGTGCAGAGCAGCAATGCAGAGCAGCAATGCAGAGCAGCAATGCAGAGCAGCAATGCAGAGCAGCAATGCAGAGCAGCAATGCAGAGCAGCAATGCAGAGCAGCAATGCAGAGCAGCAATGCAGAGCAGCAATGCAGAGCAGCAATGCAGAGCAGCAATGCAGAGCAGCAATGCAGAGCAGCAATGCAGAGCATTGTGCCATGTGTACCCGCTCACTTGGTTTTTGGAGTCTGGAAAGGTTTGGAGAGGGAGAAGAGGGGTATGGCGGAAGGAGGGAGGTTAGGTATTCTCGGCTTGTGCAGAGAACTATTTTACAACGGTGCGCCATGTGTACCCCCCCCCCCCCCTTGGCGCAGACCCCCTTGATCCTTGGACCCCCTTGATCCCCTTGGCACTTTGTAGAAGTAAAATCGCAATCACTGTACCAAAAAAAAAAAAAAAAAAAAAAAAAAAAAAGACAGAGAGAGAGGAAGTGAAAGCAGCAGGCTCACCAATAAAGAAGCCCGAGTCGGAGATGCATTTGGTTGCCGCCCAGGGGAAGGCGGCAGCGATGCGATCGCAGAGAGCCACAACTGCTTGGCCACCCGCTGAGCTGCCCGTCAGAAGGATCTGCGCTGCCGATTTGATTCCCCGCTTGGATTTCAGATCTGATTGCGTTTTGGGCGGGGGTTGAAGGGGAAAAGTTGGAAAGTGGAGCACCAGGGAGAGAGACAAAAAAGGGGGATGTGGGAGGGAGGAGGAAGGCGGAAACAAGGTGAGGAGATTTGATACTTCCTTTTCCCACTCTCATCCTGCCCCACACACTCCTGTTGTGACCGCTCTCATCCATTCATAACCGCTCTCTAATAACCAACCTCATCATGCGATGAGACAAATGAGGTTCCTTTCCCCACTCACTCACCCTCTATCACCGCTTGAGTGTGATGGGGCGAACGAACCAACATTCCCCACTCACTCACCCTCTATCACAGCTTGAACGATGTTCCACCCATCCAGGTAAATCGCCGTGCCATTGCTCCCAACTTCCAGCCGCCCTGCCGTGCCCGCGTAGCCGCCACCGTCGCAGTAGATGAGACGAACGAGGTTCCAGTTGTAAAAGGGCGGGTTGATGCTGCTGTTGCTGCTGAGAATGCCGGTGAATGGTGGGCGAATATTCTGACGAGGAAAACAGGGAAGGTGGGGAGAGGGGAGGGGGGGGAGAGTGGATGAGACGGACGAGGACTCAGTTGTGGAAGGGAGGGTTGATGGTGCTGTTGCTGCTGAGAATGCCGTTGAAGGGAGGCTGAATATTCTGACGAGGGAAACAGGGAAGGGGGGGGAGGGGGAGAGGGGGGGGGGGGGAAGAGCGGATGAGAATGCCGTTGAAGGGAGGGCGAATATTCTAAAGAGGGAAACGGGGAAGGGGGGGAGGGGGGGAGAGCGGATGAGACGAACAAGGTTTCGTTTGTAGTAGGGCGGGTTGATGGTGCTGTTGCTGCTGAGAATGCCGTTGAAGGGAGGGCGAATATTCTGACGAGGGAAACAGGGAAGGGGGGGAAGGGGGGGGGGAGTGGGAGAGCGGATGAGGCGGAACGGGGAGGGAAAGGGGGGAGGGGAGGGGGGGAGAGGGGGAGTTCAAGGAGGGGAGGACAGCAGCATACCGCGTTGGGTTCAGGGTCAGCAGGATCCAGCGTGCTGCTCCCAAGTGGCGCCTTGGGAGAGGGGCTTAAAGGGCTTTAAGGGCTTGGGGAGAGAAAGGCATACCGCCGCCCTGGGTTCAGGCTCAGGGCCGGCGGCAGGATCCAACGTGCTGCTCCCGGGTGGTGCCTTGGGTGAGAAGACGGGCTTTAAGGGGGGAAAAGCAGCATACCGCCCTGGGTTCAGGTTCAGGGCCGGCGGCAGGATACAACGTGCTAGTGCCGTAAGGCAACTTGCTTGAGATGAGGGGGGGCTTTAAGGGTAGACCGAAATAGAGCAGCATACCGCGCTGGGTTCAGGTTCAGGGTCGGCGGCAGGATTCAACGTGCTGCTCGTGCTGTAAGGCGAATTTCACATGTTTGGTTATCACAATTAATGAGGAAAGGGCGGCATACCGCATTGGGTTCAGGGTCGGTAGGATACAGTGTGCTGGCCCCGAGTGGTGCGTTGGGGGAGGGGCTTTAAGGGATTTAAGGGGGAGGGAGAGGCATACCGCGCTGGGTTCAGGGTCATGAGGATACAGCGTGCTGGCCGCGAGTCGCGGGGAAGAGAAGGGGGAGAGGGGAGGGAGGGGGGGAGAGTTCAAGGAGGGGAGGGAGAGCAGGGAGGGAGGCATGCCGCGTTGGGTTCAGGGTCGGTAGGATACAGCGTGCTGGTCCCGAAAAGCGTCTTGGGTGGGGTGAGGAAAGGGAGAGGGAGGGCTTTAATGGGGAGGGGAGCGCAGCAGCATACCGCGTTGGGTTCAGGGTCGGCAGGGTACAGCGTGCTGGTCCAAAGTCGCGCCTTGCGAGAGAGGCTTTAAGGGCTTGGGGAGAGAGCAGCATACCACATTGGGTTCAAAGCCGGCAGGATACAGCGTGCTGGTCCCAAGTCGTGGGGAAGAGGGGGGGAAGAGGGGAGGGAGGGAGGGAGAGTTCAAGGAGGGGAGGGAGAGCAGGGAGGGAGGCATACCGCGTTGGGTTCAGGGTCGGTAGGATACAGCGTGCTGGTCCCGAAAAGCGTCTTGCTCCTGGCCACGCACTGGGCGGCAGTGCCACACCACGCGCCGCCCGGCAAATAGATGTGCCACATGTTCTTGCCACCTCCCCTGCCCGCCCGGAAATAGTACCCTGGGGGGCTGGGGGGGGGTGGGGGGGGGGGAGCCGAGAGAGGGGGAGAGAGCAGGGAGGGAGAAGATGTGGCAGTGCCACGTGGCAGCCCCCCTTGCCCGCCCGGAAATAGTACCCTGGGGGGCTGGGCGGGGAACGGGGGGTGCGGAGGGGAGAGGGGAGTGGGGAATAGGGGAGTGGGGAGAGGGGAGTGGGGAGGAGGGGGAAGTGGGGAGAGGGGCGTTGGGAGGGGAGAGGAGGGGGAGTAGGTGGGGCTGCACTGTGGACGTTCGGGCAATGCACCTCCCTTCGTGCACCTCCCTTCGTGCACCTCCCTTCGTGCACCTCCCTTCGTGCACCTCCCTTCGTGCACCTCCCTTCGTGCACAAAAACAATGGCTGCAGAACGAGCCGCGGCTGAGAGTTCACCCAAACCACTCCCAGCCACGGCGAGGAGAGGGGCAGTGATAAGGTTGTCCCTCTTGGGCGAGGAGAGGGGCTGTTGAGAATTCTCAAAAGTGATAAGGTTGTTTTGGGACGTCCCAAAAACCCCACTCCCTTCCCCCCCCCCCCGTTCCCCCCCTTCCTCCCCCCGTATTTCGCGTCGCCTGCAGAACGAGTCGCGGCTGCTTCAATTCATCCCCGCGCTCCCCGAACCACCGCGCTCCCCGAACCACCGCGCTCCCCGAACCACCGTGCTCCCCAAACCACCGCGCTCCACAACCCCGCTCCCCACCCCGCCGCACCCCACCCCCCCGCTGCGCTTTCCCCGCGCTCCCGAACCCCCTCTCTCCGCACCCACGACAGCTACTACTCGCCCGCAGAACGAGCCGCAGCTGATCGATCCACCCCTGCCGCAGCTGCTCCTCATACCTCAGCTCCCCCAACCCCGCTCCCCACCGCTCTCTCTCCGCACCCCCATTCCTCCGCACCCCCATTCCTCCGCACCCCCATTCCTCCGCACCCCCATTCCTCCGCACCCCCATTCCTCCGCACCCCCATTCCTCCGCAACCTCATTCCTCCGAACCCCAATTCCCCCGCACCCCCGATAGTTACTTCTCGCGTTCAGAACGAACCGCGCCTGCTTTCCCCTTCGCCCTGCCCCGTTTTCCCAGCGATTTCGTGCCGAACGAACAATTCGCCGCGATACGTTTCGCTTCGCTACGCTTTGCTTCCTCCCTATAACACCTCGCTACCCACTGCGTCAAAACGAGGGTTATATTTGAGGCGCAGCGGATGCACTCATACCCTTACGTGTAAGCCTTACAGGCGTTACACTCCCCCTCCAGTCTCCCCCTTCATCCCCCCCACCTCCGCTCGCCCCTTGCGCTCCCCCTCCCTCCCCCTTCATTTCCCCCCAGCCTACCTCCCGTCGAGGCATTTCGCGTCGAAGGAGTTATTCGTTAGCAGGACGAGCCGCGGCGTGGCCGGCGGCAGCGGCGGCGGAGGCGGATTTCCCGCGAGTAGCGACAGGAGGTACTGCAGGAACGCCGCGACGCCGCTAAAATCGATTTTCCAGGAGGCTTTATTTCTGTGAGTACCTATCCGACCGTTGGACGACGGCGTAGGCGGCGACCGACTGTCACTTCTGTTAAATTTCCGGTTGTTCGCAGTGAAAGCATGCCCGTTAGAAGCAGTACCGTTATTCCCTGTATCGCGTGCTCGAAACTGGGTCATTGCACCATTTGTGATCTTTGGTCAGCAGAGCGCGTGCTGCCTATGATCGCTGTAGGCGCGCCGCTAAGCGCGATAATCATTTGCACGATTTTCAGTCTACGCCGCTACCACCGAATTAGCGTACTCCCCTTATTGCATGGCTTCTAGAAGCATCGTCATGCACTCGACGTGAGCCGTCTCCTGGTACTGTAGTTTACGTTGGATTCGAAGGTGACGAATCGGCGGGTCGTGCTCGTTCTTGTATGGTCAGAGCGCGTTCTGAGGACTCAGATCAAATCAGAGAGCCACTTAGGGGGAAAATAATCGAAACGCCAGTGGAAGCCACGGAGAGATGACCCTCGGAACGCTGGTCTGGAGGTCGGAACGAAGGCCCGCATGCGCCCTCAGAAGCCTTACGTTCCGAACCAAAGTAGCTTCGGAGGTTCGGTGGCTTCCACCGACATTTCTTGAAGTTCCTCCTCCGTGGGTTTTGGACACCTCCGCACAGGTCTCCTGCACCATGAATTTGTTTTCCGCGTCCGTTTTCCGACTAAAACCGGGTTACGTAGCTTTTGGCGAAAGACGTTCGGATGCGCCAAGTCTGAACGCGAGGCGAGGTAGTCTCGAAGTCGTGGAATTCTGGTTGGACCTGCACAGTCCGAACCAAGACATCAGTATGTACGCGATTCAGTACATGCACATCTACATGCACATCAATCGGCAACTTGAAGATAAAAGGTGAAGGGGTGGTAACCGGGCCAACGATCTGGCTGTGACGAGTGTTGATATGAGGAAAATGTGTTCCTTTCGTGTTTCGAGTACAACAGCGAACAATCGGGACAACCTAAAGCGAGACGTTGCGAGCAGAAGGTCCATTTGTATGCTGGCGATTTCCAGTTACTCGCGCAAGATATCGTGCATGTGCAATTGTCGTGTGCGAAGTGCTTCTCTTTGCACGCGTAAGTTGATTGGCCTCCATTCTTTGCGACAACCGTTTCGCGAGGGTTCACCACAAGAATTGTACAGATAGTTGGGGGGTGTCGAGAATTGTTGCGGGAAGTGTGCTCGCGACAAGCCCCAATTGGCGAGTGGGCGAGCTCGACGACGAGAGCCACCACCACAGAGGAAGTTGGCCCTTTCACCGCCATAGGCTTACTTCTGAGATGGTGTTGGCGACATTTGTGCAACCGCATACTGAGTAACTAATTCCTTTTCGCGTGACTGCGTTCATTGGCGCTTAGATGAGGGTCAACTGGTAACTGCGCTGGCGATTGTTTTCGCCTTCAACCACGCCGCACCGCAAGTGGATCACATCGCGTCGCAATGTCTCGCACCACAGGGTGAATTGCGAGCACCACCACACCGCAGGCAACTGAGGAATGAGTTGTGCGTGAGGAATGAGTTGTGCGCAAGGAATGACTTCGCGACATTCTTTCCCACCGCCCCGCAATCTCGCATCTACAAAAACGCAGTCCTCATCACAATCAAAACCAGAAGCATTCAGCTCACACCAATCAATACATCTGACAAAGCATTCAGTTGCTCTTTCCCACAGCAGGCCCCCGATTACTAAGACCTCTCAGTCTCATTCCATTCTATCCGACTTTGAACATGGCATTTTCCAGGGTTTCTCTCCTCGTCCTTCTCGTAGCCTTCGCTACCGTCCTTGGCGTCTCGGGCCAGACCGAGCCGTATCTCGTCACCAAGGCCCGTCTGACCCGCGCAGCGGCCGTCAGCGCCACCAACGACTTTAACAAAGCCAACGCGCTCGTCGCGCAGCGCGCTCAGGAGCTCAACGATGCGGACAAATCCCTCGCAGACGCCGCTGCGGCATACAACGACGCGTTGCCCCTCGTGAACCGCCTCAAGGCGACCCTCGCGCAGAAACTCGCAGCCAAGGACAAAACCGCCTCCGTGATTCCCGGCCTGCAGGACAAGCTCGATGCCGCAAAGGCAGGCCTTGCTACGACCAACGCCGCGTCGGGGACGGATCCTGCTGAACTTGCATCCGTCATTGCAAATGCGAAGCAACGTGCAGAATTGACGGCGCAGCAGGTTGACCGGCAGAAGGAAGCTCTTCAGAACGCTAACTCGGCCGTCGAGAATGCGACTCAGGCCACCGCTAACCCTGACATGACGGCTGCGGAGGCCAATGCTGCCCAGGCTGCGCTCGCCGATAAGACGGCGATGCAGACGCTCGCGAAGCAGATTTTGGACGACGTGGTCGCACAGGCGAAGAGCGCGCAGCAGGCGCTGGCGAAGGTCCAGGACGCGGCGAAAAACCCCGCGACTGCGCCGGTGGACCAATCGGCGGTTGACGCGGCGCAGGCGGCGCTGGACGCGGCGGTGAAGGCGGACAACGACGCGGCGGCGGCGGTGGCGCAGGCGACGAGCGACGTGAACGACGCACAGGCGTCTGTTCCGGCGAGGTCTTCGGCGGTGACTAATGCGAAGATCGCGCAGAGCAAGGCTGTGGCGGCGAAAGCGAGCGCGGACAATGCTGCTGCGGCGATGAAGAGCAGGATGGACGCTGCTGTGGCTGTTGCCGAATCTGCCGAGTCTGCTGCAAAGAATGCCGGTTACTCCTGGACGTGGTAACTCCCTTCCGCCAATTTTTGAGGTGTTAAAGCTTGCTGGAACGATCAAGACCAGGATCGACGCTGCTGTGGGTATTGCTGGCGTTGTTGAGGCTGCTGCGAAGACTGCTGGTTACACTTGTGACGTGTAACTCCCATTCGCGAATGTGGAGTGAACTACGAGAAGGTTAGATGATTGGAACGATAGATCCTGAATGCATTGCACATGAGGCCTCTGGCTTTTGGTTGCGTTGCATAATAAATCTTCCAATCTTGTGCTCTGTTGCTTTTGATTTCAGTGTTAATGGCACGTACGCTTTCTCCCTAACACCTCAGCTGAACCTCGTGGTATCAACACCCCAAAAGGGTAGATGATGTCTTAGATTGAGACAATCACGAACGAATCTATTTTACAACTGTTGCTGGTATGCTCACAAATGCAATGCTGCAACAAAGCCTTGTTGTAAGACGCACAGACCCAATCATCCAACCACCCAAGCCTCAGAGCTTCCTAAAACCACCAAGAAAGTGGCTTGCTGCCAAATAACAAGGTAGGAGACCTTCAGGCAGCAGTGCCTCCAAGCTTTAACTAAAAGCCAAAAAAAACATGGTTGCATTCGTCGCACTCCAAGCACACACTTCAATGACTAGGGGTAAGTCCATGGATTCAGCACGCATCCACTTGAACCAGTGTCTACTACTAGTTGAAGGATTGGAGGTTGGCCCTTCCACTGTAATAGGCTTACGCTGCTGCAGCCTTACCGCTGCTGCTGGCGACAGCTGTGTGGCTGTATACTAAGCAACTATTTACTTTTTAGCCTAAGGGCGTGTGTCCTTAGGCGCAGATTGTGAAGTTCATGTTTTCTGTTCGACTCTTAGCAAATGAACATTGGTCGACCTATAGTCTCTCAACATTTGATTGTTGATTTGCGTGTTCATCTTTTGCGTCAAGCACATGGCACCAAAAAAGCTCGACTATCGAAGTTTGAGCTTTTCAGGCAGGGCTCGAGTCGCACTAACCCTTCGTAGATTACCCAGTTCGGTTACGATGGCTTCAATAGTGAGTACGATGTTACGATTACCGTCGCAGACTTCACAGATTCATTGTGTGTGTACAGAGAACACACGATTGGGAAAGCTTATATGTGAAAACTCAATTGTGAGTTTGACCTCTTGGTTTTCCAAACACTGACCTCTACTTCACAAACTTCTCTAACTGCATCTAAAACCGAAATATAAAATAGTGAAGGCAGGTCCAACTTGAAAACGGTTCCGAGGAGGCCAAGGTAAACACTGTTGCAAACATTCTCGTGTCTTCAGATCGAGGTTACGTGATTGGTTCCCGCCAAAGTAAAATTTCTTGCTCACATCAGGCGACGTCGCATCTCTGCGGGCTGCATCTGCACGACGATTGATTGTCGTCGGTTTTCATCTCGTCACCCAACCTCCAAGTTCAAGTTGGACCTGGGTTACACAAGCTTATTTCTGCTTTCGCGCTCACGTAGCTTGGCATAAACTAGCCAGCTGCCTACCGAACTCAGTCATTTATTCGCCAGTGTGTACACTGTCGCATAGTAGCTGGGTGTCACGCTTCTCGTTCGCCCCTATTAACCTTCCCCTCGCTCTCTAGTTCTCAACCCTCCCATCGCCCACCTCCCTGCCCTCACGATCGCCTCATGCTACTGCTGGAAAAAAAGGGTGATTAATACATTCCCGTCGACCTCCCATCGCCCTCCCGTCACCCTACCGCCCTCCCCTCCCCTCCCGTCGCCCTCCCGTCGCCCTACTGTCGCCCTCCCGTCGCCCTACTGTCGCCCTCCCGTCGCCCTCCTGTCGCCCTCTCGTCGCTGTCAAATGATATATATAGGTGATACATATTGGTAGGCTGTAGTGGGGTAGATGTTATAGGGGATAACCCCTTAGGGTTTTCCTACTTGTAAAATTTCTCTCGATAGTCAACTCACCTTGCCTAGCTATCTCAACATGGCATCTAGAGCAATGGTCCTAAGGACCTAAGATTGGGGCCCACCTACTCATGAGTTACTTTCCCTACAGCTATACCTACCTTACCTGCTGCCCGCGCGCGCCTCGGCTGCATGCGCGCGTGCATTTTCTTTTTTTTTTTTTTTTAGCGCGCCCCGCTGCCTTAGCCGCCCGCGTGCTCGCTGCTGTCGCGCGCAGCTCGTCACCGCGCGCAGCCCGCCGCCACGTGCGACCCGCCGCCGCGTGCAGCCAGTAGCCACGCGCAGCCCGCAGCCACGCGCAGCCCGTCGCCGCGCGCAGCCCGCAGCCGCACGCAGCCCGTCGCCGCGCGCAGCCCGCAGCCGCACGCAGCCCGTCGCCGCGCACAGCCAGCTGCCACGCACAGCCCGCAGCCGCGCGCAGCCCGCTGCCGCGCGCAGCCCGCAGCAGCGCGTGCCCTGCCCTGCCTGTGCGCCACTGCCTCGACCTGAGCGCTTAGCCGCCCGTGAGTCGTGCGCTTACCTGCCTTACGCGCGGCCTGTCACAAAACTGCGTGCTTCCTTACCTGCTACAGTTGCCTGCTGCCTGAGCCTGCTGCCTGAACCTGCAGTCTTTGCCTGCTGCCTGAGCCTGCTGCCTGAGCCTGCTGCCTGAGCCTGCTGCCTGAGCCTGCTGCCTGAGCCTGCTGCCTGAGCCTGCTACCTGAGCCTGCTGCCTGAGCCTGCTGCCTGAGCCTGCTACTTTTGCCTGCGCTACAACCATGGCGACCCTTACTGTTCTCGCCTTTGAGCCTGACGGCCGCCCCATCGAGTTTGACACCTGGCTTAGTGACCTGCGCCTTTACCTTATGACTGACGTCGCAGACGGAGTGTCCCTGCTAGCCTATGTGACCGGCACTGTCCCTACTCCTGCTGAGACTGCTCCTGCCCCTGAACGAGCACAGTGGGAGCTCCGCGATGCTGTCGCGCGCCTTGTTATTCGCAATCACCTACCGATCTCTGAGCGCGCGCATTTCAACCAGCTTAAGACTGCTAAGACGCTGTATGATGCTGTCGTTGCCCGCTATTCCGCCCCGACCACAGCCACCGTTGGTAGTCTCATCCTGCCTTACCTGTTCCCAGACTTAGCCTCGTTTCACACTGCTGCCGACCTTATCACTCACCTCCGCACTAGTGACGCCCGCTTTCGAGCCGCTCTTACCAAAGAGTTCCTCGCCACGAACACCCCCCCGCTGTACTTCACCCTCTACATCCTCGTCACCCGCCTCCCTGACACTCTTCGCTCTGTCAGGGATTACTTCCTTGCCAAGGATCCTCCAACTATCACTCTGGACGACTTCGAGCAGCAGCTGGTCGCAGCAGAGAAGAACATCCTCGCTGTCGGTGCTGCTCGTGGCACTCCCCGCACTCCCCTCTTTGAGGGGTGCTCCCCCTCCCCTCTTGACCCCTCCTACGCCTCTGCTGCTACTGCTGTTGACTTCCTCGGTGCGGAGAAGGTCGCAGCGGCTTCCGCTCCTGGTGGGAAGCGTGGTGGTGGCAGGGGCGGCAAGGGTGGCAGGGGTGGCGGAGGTGGCGGTGGAGGGAGCGGTGGTGGAGGCGGCGGGGGTGGTGGAGGTGGTGGGGGTGGCCGTGGGGGTGGAGGCGGTGGGTGGGGTGGCGGCAGGACCGGGAGTGGTGGAGGCGGCGGCGGCGGTGGTGGGGGAGGAGGCAGCGGCAGTGGCGGTGGAGGTGGGAGTGGGGGTGGATCTGGCCAGAAGGGTGGCCAGCAGCAGCAGCAGCAGCAACAGCCACAGCAGCAGCAGCAGCTTCCTCCCCTCACCTCCCAGCAGCTCAATGACTGGTATGCTGGGCGTGGGGCGTCTCGGGGTTCTGACCGCTGCCCCTATGTCATTCGTACTGGCCCCCGCAAGGGTCGCCCCTGCAACGGTTTTCACACTGAGTATCGTTGTTTTGCTAGGCTTAGTGACGCCTGGCGTACTAAGTATCCTGATGCTACTGAGTTCCCCAACTGGGCAGAGCTGCTTAGGCGTGATGTGCCTATCTTTGATCTGGACTATGATGTTATTCTTGCTGCCATGTATGCATTGACTATTAGTGCTGAGGGTGACTGCTACTTGTGTGTGCCGCCTGACCCCGGTATAAGGACTGCAGCCCTAGGTGCTAGTGAGTCTGCTCCCCTTGGTACTGAGTCGACTCAGGCCTTGCACACGTTTACACTTGACTCTGGTGCTTCCCGCTGTTTCTTTCGTGATAGCACCACCGTCACTCCGCTCCCTGCACCTGTCCCTGTCTCCCTGGCTGACCCCTCTGGGGGCCCAGTGCTTGCACGCGGCACGACTGTGCTCCCGTGCCCGGCGGTCCCGTCTGGTGAGCTGTCAGGTCTCCTCGTTCCCTCGTTCTCTACGAACCTGGTGAGCAACGCCGTCCTCCAGGATCACTGGGTTGACACCTGGACTCCTGGAGGGCAGCGTGTGGCGATCTGTACGTGCTCCAAGACTGGCCGCCACCTGGCCACGTTCACTCGTGAGCCGGGGTCCAGTCTGTACACCCTCACCACTGTTTCACGCTCCGCTCCTTTGTCTCCACAGCTGTACGCGTCTGCTCAGGTAGCTACCCAGTGTGAGTGCCGCCGCCTGTCGCACGACACGCTCCTGTGGCACCACCGCCTTGGTCACCCCTCCCTGCCTCGCCTTCGTAGCATGCACTCTCGCTCTCTGGTCTCTGGGCTTCCCAGGTCTCTGCCTGCCCTCCCTCCCTCGCCTGCGCCGCCCTGCATTCCCTGCGTCGAGGGGCGGCAGCGCGCCGCTCCTCACTCCTCCTCGTTTCCTCCCACAGAGGCTCCCCTGCAGACGCTTCACCTGGACGTGTGGGGCCCAGCCCGCGTCCAGGGACAGGGCCGTGAGCGGTACTTTCTGCTGGTTGTCGACGACTTCACGCGTTACACCACGGTCTTCCCCTTGCGCAGCAAGGGAGACGTCCCTGCTGTTTTGATCCCCTGGATCCGCGCTGTGCGTCTCCAGCTCCGCGAGCGGTTCGAGCGGGACTTTCCTGTCCTGCGTCT